GGGATGTCACGTTCCACATTCCACAAACATACACGTGGGTGACATACAAATTGACAAATTACTTTGTCTGAGCATTATTGCAAAGGGGAAGAAAACATTTTAGACTGACAGATTTCAATGAAAGGCAGTTGTTGCTGAAAGAGATTCCTCGAGATAATGAACAATGTACGACGACGTTTCTATTACCAAAATGTTCACCGAGAAAATGTTACAGGAAATAAAATACTTACTATACGACTCTTATGCCCGTTTTCACCATCAATCATTAATTTTTAAGTGACCCTATGAAAACTTCCTGTTACATAAAAATCTTAAAAATTAGGGATTGATGGTCAAAACGGGCATTAATAAATTAGTTTTATGAGTGAGTTCACAATACACACAGCTAGCTATTCCAAAATTAATAAAGCTACGATGACATTGCTTATTTTACAAAATTGCTTCTAGTTGGTGTTGTAAATATCCATAACACTTATCACCTACTTAGTTACTTACTCGTCATTTTCTAAATCATATCTTGAAATATTGGAACTTATCATTATAGTAAAAAAACCCGATAACTGAGTAGGAGGAATTATTTATTACATAAGTAATAAAGAGAAGTCAAAGGCATGAAAGAACTGCCGACAAAGCCATATAAGATATTTAGTTGTAGATTGAGCCAAATTATCAGGAACTCATTATTGCCGAATATGAGTAGAACAGAGTTAGTCCACCTACCTACATAGATCCAACTAGTATTAATTACGATTAGCCTATTGGGAGAATGGAACGATGGATGAATATTTTTGGCCAGGAAAAGAGGATGCAAATGCAATTAGTGTCAGCTCATGAGTGAGTACTATCATCATCGGTTGCTAACCAACATCCTGATGCATGCGCTTCATATGATTCTGTGGCTCAACTTTCGCCTGGCGTGGCAACCAAATAAAAAGCCTAATAAAAGCCGAACAGGCCGGACAAGGCAATATTTGGCCGGACAAGACCCTAAAAAGCCAAACATGTCCGGCTAAAGCCGGACGCCTGGCAACCCTAACTGCGGCAGACAAATATTTTTCTACACAATACAGCAACCGTACTTAATACACCTATGAAACGTGTTGTTGTAATTGACTCTACAGATAGATAGGAATAAATAAGGATTCCTTACTCTTTGTAATCAAAACTACATAATATATTTGGCCCGTTTCTTATTAAACTACTTAAAAATAGTACCTATATGGTCATCTAATGTCACCGACGTGGGAGAAGAAGAAGCCGCGGTTCGCGTACAGATTCACGTGGGTGGAACCACGGGTTTACACTAGTCTATTATATAAAAATGAATCGCAAAATGCGCAGAACTCAACAACGCCTGGACTAATTTTATCATTTCTTTTTTTTATGTTCGTTGAAGTCCAAGGATGGTTTTTACGGCGAGAAAAATTCGAATGATTTCCGGGAAAACCCTAAAATAGCCCTTTTCTTTATTTCATATAAACGTTTTCTAACTAAAATGCAGAGTCAATTTGAAATTTATTGCTATTTAATAAAGTTCATATTAAATTACACACTGCGTGTTCGCGTTGGAGGATCTAATGACGCGTCGCGCAGCACGTCGGGGTGCTTCTTCATCATCAGCCAGCCGACGTGCGAGAAGAAGCCGCGGTTTGCGTACAGATTCACGCGGGAACCACGGGCTTAAGTTAGTATTTTAAACTCACTTTATATGGAACCGAACGAGGGGGTCGTTGTCAATATCGCTCATGTCGATCTTGCTGCCCTCTCGCAGTACGTCGGGGTGCTTCTTCATCATCAGCCAGCCGACGTGGGAGAAGAAAAAGCCACGGTTCGCGTTGTGCGGGTCAGCGGACGTCTCCGAGAACTTGTGGTGCACTCTGTGGTCGCGCACCCATTGGTAGAGATCGTTCTGTTTGTGAAAAAAAAAGTACTTATTAGTAAGAAGGAGCTCCTCCTTGACGAAAGCTAAGCTACAAAGTGACTGAAACTACTGAGACAATAATGATGGGTAAGTACGTAGTAGCCTTTGAAATGGTCTTCTCTAAACAAATGAGTAGATATGACTGAAACAATTAAGGATGTAGAGCTGGCAATAAGTAAACAATATAAATCGCACTTTTGATTTATGAGGTACTAGCGGCCGCCCGCGACTTCGTACGCGTGGATCCCTTTTTACCCCCTTCATCTATCTTACGCGGTTTAGATTTTTTCATACAAATGTTTTTTCCCGCTAACTCCCGTTCCCGTTGGAATTTCGCAATATCCTGTTGTAACTAAGCTTTAAGTTTACTAAGGTACCTGCTTGCCGAATTTCAAGCGTCTAACTTAAGCGGTTTAGATTTTTCATACAAAAGGATTTTCCCGCTAATGCCCGTTCCCGTGGGAATTCCTAAGTATCCTATAACCTGCCCAGGAGTATGAAGAATAATTGTACCAAGTTTCGTTAAAATCCGTCGAGTAGTTTTTGTTTCTATAAGGAACATACAGACAGACAGACAGACAGACAGACAGACAGACATACAGACAAAAATTTTACTGATTGCATTTTTGGCATCAGTATCGATCACTAATCACCCCCTGATAGTTATTTTGTAAAAAAATATATTTCATGTACAGAATTGACCTCTCTACAGATTTATTATAAGTATATATAGATTAATCAAAACTCTACCTCTGTCTCTACCACCGTAACCATTCTTCAAATAATTGAAAATCTTTCTTGTAATAATCATTACAAGAAGAAAGATTCACAATCGTGAATGATTATGATTTGTAAATTTTCTCGGAAATAAAATCTCAGAGGCTTTGTTTACGGCTTCTACTCATACCTACTTCTCGTTTGAGTTATTTTGTTTTTGCCTTAAACTTACTTGTCCAGCCAAAGAGTAGCATAAAAGCAATATGATTTGTAAAGGCCACTTTGCTTTGTAAGAGCGGTGGCACCAGTACCGGTGCGCACCACCGGTCACTCCAAAACCGGCTAACTGGCCCATCACTAGCGCTGAAAAATTAAAATGGGATAAATAAAAGGAAAGTTTTCACCTTAAGATCCAGATGACATCGCTAAAAGTTAGATCCCAGTCAAAATATTTTTAGGTAAGATTCAGTCGGTAGAATTTAATGCTGCCACATATGGTGCACCAAATGATATGATAAAGGAAGCCAATTTCAAATATAGGGAAAAGCATGAAAAACTTGAGTGTTTAAAGAAGAATCTAAGATAAATGGGTTTTGTGATAACGCATCGAAATATTGTAATTTATAGACACACATTCTGAGGAAGGCGAAAAGAAATAGAATGGAACTACATTCTAATTCTAGTTACTTAGTTAACAAATTAATCATCATCACAGGTCCATGTTACGTAAAATACAAATGCAGTATGTTAATTACTGACAGATACATTAAAATTATGTACATGTAGGTCCTTTGTGCGTCGGATGTCAACAGGTGCACGTGCAGGGGACTAGCAATTAGGTTATCTGGGCAGTGGTCCATAATAGGCACCAGGTGCATAGCGTGCAGCGACGGGACTTAATTACTGTCGTTGACGGGAATTAACAATGCATTTGGTTTAGATTAGATAGACAGTGCAGTGGCAGAATTGTTCCTGGACTTTATTGTCATCATCATCATCATCATTTCAGCCATAGGACGTCCACTGCTGAACATCCCCTAATGCTTTCCACGTTGATCGATTGGTAGCAGCCTGCATCCAGCGCATCCCTGCTACCTTTATGATGTCGTCAGTCCACCTTGTAGGTGGACGTCCCACGCTGCGTTTTCCGGACTTTATTGTAATGAGTATTTATTCTCTAATATGAATTAATTCGAATGAATCGGCTTAGATAAAGCGGATGAAAATCCAAATTATATCAGTTCAATAATGCACTTAATATAGTTAGGTATCTAATTTTTTTCTATTCAGGGCAAATTGATCCATTTCTATGACACGGTCGTTATGGAAATATGAAGTAGATAATACGAATTTTTAATACTCAAATTCGTAGAAATGCGCAGTAATACAAAACAATTACCTATTCATGGAACAATTTTGTTGGTCTCTCAAAATATTTCAAAGAAGCAATTCATTTAGGACTCTACCATAGAAATTGAAAACTTAAACCAAGTTTTTAGTAATTCAGAACAGAAATACTTACAAAAAATACAAGTTTGCCATGACGGGTAAATTCCCTGGAAGAACAGGAGATATATTGGCGCTACTATAGCGACTATGAAATGGAAGAGTATGATGGCGGCAGCGTCGAACCAGCGGATTGGTGTTTCAAAGCCAACTCTTTTCTCCCACTCCCTGACTGCACACATTATCTCTCCCTCGTTCTTTGACCTGACCTGGTCATAGCAGCTGATAGACTGAAATCCCTTGTCCGTAATTTGTGAGGATGTTTTCCTTTTTTCTCTCGGGCTCAGCTGGTACTGCAAGTTGGTTTCTTTTTCTTCTATTGTTGTCGTCTCTGTCACCGTTTTGTGGGCCATGGCTTCAGCTGAATGTAAATGGTATCATGTCAATTTAATAAATAATAGAATAATACATTTTGTAATTGTCTTTTTGTAATAAAAGTACCTATCTAGAATCTTGTGCCGATTTTCCAGGGCTTCTCTGAAAACATTGGTTTAAACTTGAAATTGATTTAATCACTTTTAATGAATATTTAATTCGAATTACAAGATTCTTTGTCGATGGTATTAGAATTACTTAGAAAAAAATAATAACTGGGACTTAAATAGAGGTAAAGAAGTTTCACCGAATTAGCGTTTAACATTCGGCAATAAAAAAATATATTTAAAAAGTAATTTTCTACTTAGACCTTATGGTATAAAATACATTAACCATTTAACAATAATGTTTATCTAAAAGCAGAATTATTAATACATAAATTGTTTTATCGACAAAAAAGAGGTCAAAAAATTTTTGAGATTTTTTTAAAATTTTTTATAGATTTTTTTTCTTCCAATTACTGATTGTAAAGAAAACGTAATAACTTTTAAACTAAGCGGAATATCCTGATAAAATAAAGACAGTAATAATGCTAAATAACAGGCGATACTAAAAACATACATAAAATACACAAAAAATGCCAACAAATAATAGAAAATGAAACTTTTTGAAAAAAATCTGCTTTTAAATTCGTGTTTTTTTGGTTATTTGATAAATTTCTCCAAAAATATGCCCCTATAACCGGTGGTTTTTATTACTTTGTATTATTTTCTATCGTATTACCTTTGTAAAACCAAAAATGGTATGTCTCTATCCCTATCACAACGTTTGCAATGATCGTTTGAACTAAGCCTCTCCGGGCGCGCCATTCAACGCTTCGTTAACAACGAAACTGAAAATGGCTCTAGATTTATAATTTTGATACAGACAAGTTAGATTTCAAATAAGAACAAAATATTTCGAAGTTAAATAAGCATTTTAGTTAAAATTAAAATTGTCTCTAACTGTAACGGAGAATAATGTTGTGGCAGGCCTTTGTTCAAACGATCATAGCTAATGTTGTGATAGGGTTAGTGACATGCGATTTTTGGTTTTACAAAGATAATACGATAGAGAATAATACAAAGTAATAAAAACCACCTGTTATAGGGGCATTTTTTGGAGAAATTTATGAAATAACCAAAAAAACACGAATTTTAAAACAGATTTTTTTCAAAAAGTATAATTTTTTATTATTTTTTGGCCTTTTTTGTGTATTTTACGTATTTTTTTAGTATCGCCTGTTATTTAGCATTATTACTGTTTTTATTTTATCAGGATATACCGCTTAGTTTAAAAGTTATTACGTTTTCTTTACAATAAGTAATTGGAAGAAAAAAAATTCTATAAAATTTAAAAAAAAAATCTCAAATTTTTTTTGACCTTTTTTTTGTCGATAAAAATAGGTCTAGTTTCATCTATTTTCATATGTACACTTTAACGTGACTCACACATGTATGTATAGAATATTGTTAGATTTGAATAAAAACCCAGTTTAATACATAAATAAAAATAAATATTATGGTATTTAATTTAGGCATACTTAGCCCATAAAAGTGTTAGTAACAAGGTCTTAGAAATGTTAGTAAATCACACAATAATTACACACTATTAATATTAATATTTTCTATGAATCAATGCGCATGATGAATGAATGCTACAAAGGATTTCGGAATAATTTGTAAATCTGACAACATTACAATAACATTATCGTAGGTATCGTTTGAATTGAATGATAAATTGAGAATTGTGTCATGTTGGATCTCCGTGACCGTAACTAATTCTCAGTATCACAGAACAATTAAAACACCCTTTACTGCGGGTAGGCTAACTGATGAAGTCAGTCACGCAAGTTATTGCCGTTCGTAAAGTTCGGTCAGTTTGGAAATAGGCGTCACCAATACCACTCTACTACTCACCCAGTAAAATTAGTCGCAACCTGGAAAGCAGGATTTTGCTAAGGTAAAATACCTATTATAGTTAGTCATTCCTTCTTCTATGTAGGTATACCTACAGGTTTTAAAATATGATGGGCAGTTTAAATTTGCTATTTTTATTATCACAATGTGACACGATGTTTAAAAGGTTTTTTTAAGCCGCTTAAATGACAACAACTTTATGCAAAAATATCTCTACACTTTCAACGCTCTCACATCAAGTATTCATTAATTTTAAATTACGTTCATTACTCGTAGAATTCAGTAGTCTTTGGTCAGTATACGTACTCCATAATAAACATTTCTTATAATAATTTTTCTTTCTTTTCTTTCTTATTCGTAATTATGGTTAAGTCATAAGAATTATGCCATGTTTAAATTATGTTTCAGAAGGTATTCATTTGATAATTTTTCTAAAAGCAGTCAACATGAAGTATCCAGTACTCTTCATGTTTTCTCTATGCTTGTGCGGGGTGCGCGCGCGCTGCCCGCCCGATGCGTGGGCGCCGCTGCCCTTCGCGCTCGAGTTCGCTCTGTGGCGCGGGTGGCGGCAAGCCGTCGTCTACACCCCCGACTTAGAAAGAGGTGAGTTAATAAGATAACTAATGACCGTATTCACAAACGATGCTTGCCGTTACTAACTTACTTTTTATTTTATTCAGTTTCTACTAATAGTCCAGTCAATGAATGCCTTAACGACGGTGTAGAGAGAAATCTGTGGAACACAATTTCTGACCTCGGGACTTTATTTAGACTAGTTAGGAGGTGAACATAGCAAAAGTCCCCGCCCTTAGCCCTTGAGCCGGCGGGGAGAGGGGGGTTTAAAGGTACCACTTTTCGGTTTTTCGCTTAATCCTCGGAAACTATGCGTCCTAGTGTCATGGCTACTATGAACCAAAAAAAGCTTATTCAATTTGCTACAGGTGAGATAGTCAAGTTTTTCTATATCTTGTATAGTTTTCGCGGCATCTGCTCTAGAAGGTCTGTAATATTGGAAATTTTATTTTTGTCTTACATGTTCCCATCAGAAGAAAATCGACTAAATCAACATTAAGCAAACAATCTAGACATGCGGGAGCATGTTAAGCCTAGTTCCAGAGAGGGGACTGCACCGTGTGTATATTTAGACGAACCACTTGCAGCCACTTTTGACTCCTCATCACTCAAAAACTACTGTGCATTAACACTTCAAATTTGGCTCATGTGTTAGAACTTACGAGATAAATATCAGCTTCAAATTTCATAAATATACCTCAAACGGTTATTTAGGTACCTTTAAACCCCCCTCTCCCTGCCGGCTCAAGGGCTAAGGGCGGGGACTTTTGCTATGTTCACCTCCTGACTAGTCTAAATAAAGTCCCGAAGTCAAAAATTGTGTACCACGGATTTCCATCTATAATGCTTTATTGACTGGACTATAACCTAATACGACTCAATGATGTTATGTAAATTTGTACGCCGACTTTTTAATTTTTAAAACCTGTAATATGCAATTTACCTATGTTCCACGAATAAACGAATTTGGATTTTGATTTGATTTTGAAACGTACAGCGTTGAATACAGCTCTGTGATTGTTTCGTGTCATCGTGTGTCACCTTGTGCGTCCTCGCGCACTGTGAGACCTCATAGTAATGTTTAAGAATACGGGCGTAATCTTCAACATCTTAGTTCATGTAACCGACGCCTAGGGCCGAATCATCGTGGTGCCCATTGCCATAAAAATTTTCATTTGATGGGGAAAAATGAAGTAACTAAGTAGAGCTCTTTATAACACAACATGAAGTAAGTAGGGCTGCCTTCTAATTTCGGTTAAGCACATGCATCATCCAATAAATAACTAGAGGAGCAAATAATGCACTTACAGTGAGAAATCAATGAAGAATGAGCAAAAAATAGAGTCAAATAAACGCAGTCTGTTACTATTAATACAAATATTTTATGGTTCTCTTAACCAATTAAACCCACTTATATTTTTTATAGACAACATAATACAGTTTCCGAATGAAACTCCACTCTGGCAACTGCCTCTTTATTACAACCTTATTGTTTGTGATGATACCTACCTTGTTTTCTTATTGACGTCTCTCTTATTCCTTAACTTTAGATACCTACTTTAAACGTGAATTAAAAGGAAATGGTAACACAAAGAGCACAAAAAAGATAAAGGAGCGTGTTCGACATACAAGTTTTCTATCGAAGTTTGTCCATTGATAAGTACGAGTCCGTTTTTTCCTCTTTTCCTGGTGATGTGGAAACTTAATTTGAAATCAAAGAAAGTTGCAATAAGATGGATTACTTTTCCAGAACTAGTATAAATACTCGTTTAATCTTATATTCCTGAACTCGATGTTTAATTCGAAACCAAATCTCTTTAGGGACACATTGGCTAAATCTTGGTTCGTCGGTTCATCAACTTAGTGGATTGATCTTATCTCTCTCTTTTTAGCGAATTGGCTTTTGTTGTTTAACTATTGTTACACATTGTGCCAAAACAATATTTAAATGGTGTATACTTAGTTTCTTAGCGCAGTTGTTATTATTTGTCTGTTATTGTGTCACTGTGTGATATCTAAATAATACTCGTAAAAGTGAATGTTTATTAAATGAACAATAGTAATAATTGAAAATCATTTATTTTCAGACAATTATTTAGTTAGGTACTTATTATGTAATAAGTCCAAGTCAAGACCTTAACAAATAGCGACAAGCTAAATGGTAGGTAGGTACAATATTGATCGAAGTGCTTAACTTAATGGCTATGTACTTGACGTGAGAGGCAGTATTGTTGATTTGATGTCATAATTACCGATTAACAAATGAATAAATTAGTTGCTTGTTTATTGTCAATAAGATGTGGTCGTTTACTGTATTCAGTTTCCATGCCTAGGCATTAATAAATAAGAAATATATGAAATTATGTAAATATTTGTCTTATAATTACGAGTAATATTCAGCTTACCTAGGTACTGTTTGATTACAAACCTATTATTCTATCTTCGATAGTTCTTGACGGAAGTTATAGCCTACTTTAAATACTTAAAGCCTACTACTGAGTACTGAAAATACTTAATTAAAAACGTTTTCTATTGTATCTACTTCGCCTTCTAGTAAAAAAAGGCTATTAAATTTGCAAAGCAGTCCATTTGGTAAGTGCAAAGCAGTCCTTTTTCTCAGCACTCGCTCTTTTCTTGTTCCGAAGTAGTGGTAATACTGGGACGTGTAATAACACTTTTTAAAGGCTATTTGTAGAAAAAAAAGACTTTTATTGATACCTAATGTCTGTTCACACACCGCAATCGGAAAATTTATTTTAAAGTTTAATCCGCTATGATTAAACTCCGGTATTTACATAGTAAGATAAATACGGATCAAACAGAGATTGAACTGTTCCAGTATCCTAAATATTAATTCACTTTACAATCAAAAGTTTGTTCCAATCAATAAAGATACAGACAGTATTAATGTTGTTTGGCTTTTATTTGCAAAATTGACAGTTTCTATCGGCACAGACACTCTACTTAGTGCCTTTGAAACTTGCGAGAATTCAGTCAAAAGTTGTTTTCGACAAATTGGGTAGCAATTTGGAATGCAAAATGCTATGGAACGAGAAAAATCTTTCCTACTCGTAGATGAATATCAACACGACGTACGTTTTGCAGATATTATTACGTGCTAATTATGATATAGGTACCTTTTATTTATGAATTTGTTAGTAGGTACATTGTGTAAAGAACTATCTTGCTGAAATGTATTTTATCATAAATGCTAGAAATAATTAATCTTAATTATTGTGTTCACCCATTTCATAGAGGATGTAAGTTTATACGAAGAACAGAATATTATAGGGCCGTAGTAATGTTTGTTACAAAGTAATTTTCATGATCTTGATGAATAATTATCAAAAATATTAATTAATAACTAAATTAAGGAACCAAATTCTACGCGAATAGACATGCTCATCTAAAGCTATTTAAGCTCTAAGGCATTTCAAGAAACACATTACTTTAGCCCCAATCGATCAAGGTGTCAATCAACTGTCCTATTTCATAAGCCACTGCCTCTATCTGTGTGGCCTGAGCTTTTAGTAATCAGTTCCCGCTATTTTCAAAGAAAATGGCATTGATAACATACCTACATTGTAAATTATTAACTAAAATCGTTCCTAGAAGTTTTCTGATAGTAGAGTTACTACCTATGTGTGGTTTCTAACAAAACGTTTACTTTGTGAATGTGATGTGAACCTACGTAATGTTTAATTTTTCGTTAGACTAGATATTAACTTGTAATGAATTAGATATTTCCTTAAAATTACAAAAAACAATCATATCATATCATAAAATGATCATTACTCAAAAATTATATGTGACAAGGTGACTGAGTTCCTTCCGCCACTTCTTCTCAGCACATGTTGCCCCGAAGTGTTGGTAGGGCAAGCTATAACTGGGACGTGTATAAGTGCCCTGGAAAGTACTTGTGTACTGAATAAACCATTTTATTTTATTTATTTATTTAAAAAACTCACCTTGAACTGAACAGGCGAAATATTTTGCACTTCATAAGAAACACAGCACTCCAAGGTTCGGTTCTATTGCAACTGATGCATTGATGCGCCCGCGCAAAATGCTGTCGCAGCGCGAGCTCTCACGTCCAGCTCATACGTGTTCAAAACGCTTATTCGTCACGTACTATACCAGTTTATTAACAAATATACATCTCAGTGCCATTCGCAAACTAATAACATTTTGCAATTTAATTAATGACTCACAAAAGACGAAACAACTCGATTGATTATCCGATATCGGATTTATTTTCTTGTCTGAGATAAAGGGTCGCCGTACAATGCCCCAGTAATCTTGGTGTCATCGTCACCCCTGCTTAATTGAATCCTGAAAATAGATGGACAAGGCTAGTGATGAATTACAAGGATTTCCCCTAGCTATGCCTTTTTTATCAAACGTCTGATGAACAGTTGTGAAATCCTGATTATTCAGATGAAATAGCATGAGCCTTTTTTAACTCTACATCTTCAGGGTTTTCTTTTAACTCATGATAACACAAGTATTAGGAATTAGGATTTACATTCGTCATAATCATACAAAATGAATTTTTGAGTTTATTACATACCAAAAATATCTTGATTAAAAAATTTCGCATAAAATTTTCATTCAATGGGGCATACGAGTATAATGAAACTTCACAAACGGTACTAGAGATTGGCTTTCGTATTATCAGTTGTTGATGGATGTGGGCTGAGATTGTGACGAAGATTGAAGATCTGATTACTCCATTATTCAGCTAATGGTTAAGCCAATTATTGCTTAGCTATTTATACAGGGTGTTAGGTAAATGGGTATATGAGCCGACACTAGCCCATGTTAACATGGGCATATAAATGGTATGGTGAAGTCAGAAAATTGATATCTTCATTTTAATTATTTTAATTTTCATACAAATCGGATTTTATAAAATTTATTTTGTATGAAAATTTAAAAAATTAAAATGATGATATCAAATTTCTGACTTCACCATACTATTTATATGGCCATGTTAACATGGGCTAGTGTCGGCTCATATACCCATTTACCTAACACCCTGTGGTATGTAGGTAAATATGGTTTCTCGTTACATATTTTTAGCTGTCGATTATTTATTTCTATTAAAATTATAGGATGTGTTATAATATTAAAACATAATTGGATATAATTGTGTATCAGATAAGCGATTCAATTAACCTAATCCAGTTTCGGGAAAGAAGTCACCGATTTCCTTACTCAGCTCTTCATAATTTCGTGTTGATAAAATACCTTATTAATATAAAGACTTGGAAGCTACATGCATGCATATCAAATAATAAATGATACCTATTTCAACTTATCATTTAAACTACATCTTTTACTTTTTTTATTAAATTCTATATGTCATAAAAAATGCTTGCGTTTGAAAGATTTATTTATGATCTCCCTCGACCTCGATCTTCACCAAATCACCACATGTCCTCAATTAACTTTAAAAACCATTGGGGAATATCGTATCTTGTGGCAGGTGGANCAGGTGAATCATAGGTGGCTGTACTCAATTAAATTAAATTAAAAATTATTATTCTTTATTTCAGATAATTTAAACAAGTTCATATTATGCGGGTTCATAATAAACATAAACAAAGGAAAATTGTACCCTGTGGTGCAGAGATGGACCATCATGGGGGTGGATAAGGCCCCGTGATCAGTCTCTGCACCAGACAATGACTAGATTTTTTTTTCAACAGTCCTTTATTTTCAGGTTGTCAATGGGCAAAGATAAGACTGGCGAAGTGCTTGAGCGTGAACGGAGTGGCTTCTGCCTTCGACCCCGCGCAACAACCCCGGGTGCGCACGCGCCTTGGTGTTCTGGTGCTGATGCCGCGGCTGAAGGGAAACGCTTCTACCACCATTATAGAGCTGCTGAAAAGGGTAATGTAGATCTTAAAAGTTCATTAATTTTAGAAAGCCTTATGTTTAATATATTCATCCCCATCATTCAGCCATTTGCTGTTGACATAAAAAAGAGCTATAATATTTTGGCAAAACATGTCCAACCGAACCCTGAAAAAGTTAGATTATTAAAGTCAATACCCCCATTCTACTTATAATATACGTTTTGCAAGAATAATATCTTATGAATACAAGCCTTAATATAGGTCTCTCCATTCAGAAGTAGGTACAACGACAACGTAGGTATAAAGGTTATGAAAATGTTTGATTTCGTGAGTATCTGTAAATGTAAATGTATAATATCCCTATTTAATCAAAATTATATTATCATTTCAGCTCCACGAATTCGAAATGAACACAGCGCCATACGATTGGCTATTGACAGTAAGATCCGATGGGGATTTTGATCGAATGAACGCTTTATTGAACGTTACTTCATTGCGGTTCGATCAGAATATCGCTGTCGGTTATCCTTCCATCGGCCGTAATCCAGAAACACGTGTAGGATTGTGCGATATGAACTTCGTTTACAAAAAAGACTCCAGATATGAGGGGAAGTCCCGCAACACTTTTTACAGCCGAGAAAACAAGTGCGGGAATCATAAACAGCGAGCCTGTCAACAGTACGTGAGAGAAATCAGCTACTACCGCTCCACAATTCGATTCAAAAACCTGACTGTAAACAAAACGTACAAAAGCTCCGGGAGAATACTAAATCTGTTTCACTCGGGAGAATTGAACTTTAATAATTCAAGACCCTTCGAAATGACAAATATTAGCCGATTTTCTCTGAAGTATCATTTTAACAGGTGGAACAGATTTAACAGAGTCGACAGAAACAAAGGCGGCGTACACATTGTACAATACTTCAAAGTGCGATCTAACTCTACTCTGTATGCTTGCTATTTAGGTAAGCCTTTATCCAGTTAATATTTTACATTACTTCTGCTTGCTTCTTTGTTCTTCTGCGTGGTTGCTTTTTGCTTCTTTGTGAGTTTTTGTTATTTTTAATTATTATTCTTTTAACATCCTTTATTCATATTTTTTCCCAACAACAATGCACTTTTAAAAAAAGGGAAACCTTTCATTGGCTATACTATCAGTCTAAATCTTATAACTAACATTTTCAATATATCGCTGTTGGTTTCTATAAAATAAATAAATAAATTACCCATTTTATTTTTGCTCCCTCTATGATAATTTGTTGTAAATAAATAAATTAATAATTAGACAAGTTTCATATGTAAAACAAAATCAAAATCCATTGGAATAAATAATGATTTAATTTAGAACTAAAAAGTTTATGCCAGCTAGATTCCAAAAATTTGATATTTTACTACTCCTCCTTACCAGAATTTAGAACTCATGATAAAAATAGGCTTTAAGTTATAATGCTGTAAATAACAATAAGCCGAAGCTAAAAAGCGCTACTGATGACTATCAGTTATGGATTAATTAATTTAAGTATACCAACTTAGCTTGAATAAGTGGTGAAATAAGATGGTGATGAATTACGAACCTAGTTAGTAATGTCTACCCACACAAATCCCAGCTCACCTTCAAAGCTTTTTATCTGAAGGTCACATTGTAAAGCGCTAGTATTACGACTCGTCTAGGATGTTTTGTAGCCTTTTACTAAGTTTTATCTGTGGTTTTATTGAAATACCCAAGGGGATTCAACTCGTGTGACATGGATATAGTTGAACCTTGCAAATGCGGGCACAAAGTAGAACAATAGTGTCTAGACAAACCTAAAAAGGATTTAGGACGCTATTTGGATCAAATATGTAATTGCTCAATAATGAATAATAAATAAATAAAAAAATAAATAGTCACAAAAAAAAAAAAAAAAAAAAGTGAATCAGTTGCGCGGCGCAAATAACGACTTGTGAAGTTAAATAAATTACTTCCAGCGGTCTTGCGTTTCTATGTATATTCATTATAAAATATTAAAATTCAAACATATTCGATATAGTACATAATAGTAATTTATAACACTTATCTGGGAATACTGTAAGTTATTTTGGTAAATAAGAATAAAACGGTAGACTTAGGCTGAGTTGCACCACCTAACTTCGACCGTATCTTTAACGATAACCGGTGTTTTTTGTATGGAGTTTGACATATTTTTGACGTTTGTCAAAGTTAAAGTAAGATTGTGCAACTCAGCCTTAGTTTAGTCATCATCATCATCATTTCAGCCATAGGACGTCCACTGCTGAACGTAGGCCTCCCCCAATGCTTTCCATGTTGATCGACTGGTAACAATGGTAACGGCCTTCGTCCAGCGCTTCCCTGCTACGTTTATGATGTCGTCGGTCCACCTTGTGGGTGGATCTTAGTTTAGTGCACTAAATAAATATCAATAGTACTCATTTTATTATCGATTTGAGACAGCCAAGCTCATATGGATCTTATATTTATTAACTTACAATTTTGCTCTAGGTTTCTGGAGCAGGGATACTTCGATGTCAGGGGTAGACACCCCATTCCCAGATGACGTGCGGAACTTACTGGGTGAGGAGATCGTGGTGGGAAGAAGGAACGCTTCCACTGATGGGACTCCAACTCCGGACGATGAAGGTCCTTCGGCTCCGGCTCTACTTGATGACGTACTCTATTTTTTAACCAACAAGCTAAATGCTACGTGAGTAAAAAAGGGAGAATTGTTTACCAGTTTCATCAATAAATCAACGAAACTAATTGAATTCGCTAAGTTAGGTGTAATGCCGAAGTGCTGCTGAATAAATTCTCCTAAGTCCGTCGCCATAACAACAATGTTAACAGCATTATTGTGTTCCGGCAGTTAGAGGTAAGATAGCCAGTTCCTCCGTGGTTGAGGATTCTGGGTGAAGCTCGCTTCCACCTTCGGCCTGATCGTCACTTACTATCAGGTGAGATACATGCAAAGAATCAGAAGACGAAAAGTGTTAGCTTTTTGAACTAGGTATTTCCTTTCGACGATTTATACTCGTATTTTAAGTTTTCCTTTTACGTAGAGTATCTGGCCCGAAAATAAACTGAGGTTGCTTGTTATAGAGCACTAGAGTCCAGCAGAATGCATTGTTGATAGCCAGATGGAGGGCACTTGGACGGGTTGTTTCATCCTTCCTTGCCTACAATTTGTATCACATTTGGGATTTTCATGACAGCATTGAAGAAGTAATATATGGTTTTCCAAGAAAATCTATTATAGGTTGAGGTCATGAATGTAGTAGGTACTCTGGAAATAGTTTTTTTTTATAGGGAATAAAATAGAAATGATGGGAGCCGAAATTGCTGTGACTCGTGTCTCCAGTTTACTCGTAGTTTGAGATCTTAAAAATGTAGGTATACAGGGTGGAATTTTGTCATGCCACCTGGAGGAAAAGTATTCTAATTACTGTAGATAGAAAATTTTACTCAAAGAAAACATTCCTGTAATTTTGAAAAGAAATCTACAAGAATTATAAAAATACCAAATAAAACCTAGACACTATTTTTCGTTTTTATCCAATCTAATCAATGTCATCTTAAACTTTTTATTAGTATTTATGTACAAATTGACTCTTTCCAGTCCTGTAACCCGATACTACGCGAAGCTGGGATTCCGCACGTACGAAGGTTCCTGGACTGGCCTCCTGGGGGCTCTGATGGACCAGTCGGTGGACTTGGCGTTGGAGCCGGTCACTGCGCACCCGTCGCTGCATAACGACATGGACTTCATCTTCCCTATCGCTGAGACTATGTGAGGCTTGAGGACTAACAAATTGAGTTGTTATTGATGGGTTTTAAAGGGATTAATAGAAGTTATAGCGCCTGCTAGACAACTAAGTATTTACATAATCATTGATTTTGTCAGTCTAATAACTTTAAAGTTTAGGACCTAAGCTACTTTCGATAAAGTAAAATTATATAATAATAAATGTATATTAATGGTAAGTGGTTTGCGATGAATCGTCGCCTATATTAAACACTAGCTTTCAGACCGCGGCTTCGCGCGCGTGGACCCCTGAACCCTATGTTTTTCCAAAATAAAATTTAGCCTATGTTACTCGTGGATAATGTAGCTTTGGAATGGTGAAAGAATTTTTAAAAACGGTTCAGTAGTTTTTGAGCCTATTCATTACAACCAAACAAACAAACAAAGTTTTCCTCTTTATAATATTAGTGTAGATGTTTCAAGCCCATGTGGATGTGTTCTGTCTAGGCAATAAAATATTTTAGACACTTTGTCTTCGTTACAACACAAAGTATATATTAATACGCCTTATTTAAGTCGCTACTCACCGTAATTTAGTAGTCTCTCATCCCTAAAATGACCATGTTATTTAAGGCGCTATTTTTGGGTTGTTTTTTTGTAGGTGTAATATTTACATTCGCCAGCAAGAGACATCCACGGTCCGGGACATCTTCATGGCCCCATTCAGCGCCCGGCTGGTGGCTTGTGTAGTGGCTGTGGCCTTTTTGGCAGCCTCTGCTGTCGTGCTGATCAGCAGACTGGCTCCTTCAGTGCATAATAAGGCACGCCCTATGGAGTATGCAGAGGCCCTAATATGGTCCACTGGGATACTCTGCCAGCAAGGTAAAGACCAAAATAGCACAAAAACAGTTATGTAACCTAACGTAATTCGGTAAACGTTGACATAACGTTTATTGTGTGTCACGTCAAGTAAATCAGCCTACAAGCGACAAATAAACATGAATGACACGCTTAATTTCATTTTAGTGATGCCAAGACGCGTGATTTTGTAAGGAAACACGTCTACTTTATTTTCACGGCACGTGATGTTGCCAGATGCTATAAAACATGATGCTGAAATTTAATAATAGACAACCTTACAGGGCAGATATGTACCATCCTAGACTGCATCTCACTTAACACCAGGTGCGATTGCGGTCAAATACCTGCCTTGGCTAGCATAAAAAAAAAACCTATTCCTCATATATCTTCATATATCTCTTCTTGAGTAGAAATATTGCTTTGTTTAGTTTTGCCTTGTGTACCTAATATCACTGATATTTTTAGGTGGTTCATGGACTCCTCCGAACCCTGCAGCAAGCATCCTCCTCATCGTATGTCTTTTGTTTGCTGTGGTGACGTACAACGCGTACGCAGCGTTCATAACATCGGTGCTGTCAGTGAGAGTAGCGTCTCTTGACACTGTTGCGGCTGTTCTTCAATCACCAGACTTGAAGATAGGGTACATTAGGAATGGAGCTGATCAGTTGTACCTGATGGTAAGTAGGTTGAACATAATTTAAATTAGATTAGCGTTAGTATTATCGTATGATCGTATGATCCTAAAAATAATTATTGTATTACTTCAGTCTACAAAAGATGTACAACTCAATGCCTTCTACATTCGAGGGTACTCGGACTCCGAAAACCTGGTGTCTTCGGCAGAGGAGGGCCTTGCGCGCGCTGCAAAACAAAACTACGCTTTTTTTGCTGGCCAACGAGCTGCTAGAGCTACTCTGCGGTATGTTAGAGTTTCATTCACAAAGAGTATGGATTCAAGCGTTTTTAGATGGAATGTCGGTTAAATCGGGAAAGCAGATTATTATTTTACATTGGCAGATTACATTAAGATCGTATCATCCACGAAGACGCGCCCCACCATTCTTCCGCAAATGTTTGAGTGTTATCAGTATACGATAAATTATCCATAAGTGCTCACGCACACTACAATAATGACGCTCGGATTGCTCGGATGAAACACCCAGCACCCCGCGCTTCCCTCTATTAAAAATTGGTGGGGCGCGTCTTCGTGGATGAAACGAACTATAACTGTATTATATTTTTTGCCAAGGAACCTGAGCCAGGCGAGAGGCAGATGCGCAGTGAGAGAACTGCCCGTCCATTCTACGCGGGCGCAGCTTGCGTTCCCTCTGCCACACCGATCGCCTTACGCCAGACCTACGCTAATTTGGTAAATGTAACTTTTTTAATACCCTATTACCACTTTAAGACGGAATAAGTGTAGTCACTTTTGTCTTCCTTTTGTTTAGGTTAAAATTAATATCTTCATGTCTTAACCGGTCATGCACTTCCGAAACTAGATGGTTTTGGGTGCTTTTTTTAGTTTATGCATGAAAATTTTGGATGATTTCTTTAGTTTAAGCATTTAAATATGTTAAGATTTTTAATTCTGCTCTGGGCGTTATGAACATCATATGCAGACTATATCATAGTCAATATACATATTGATAGGACAATTAATGATATAATAAAGTAAAATTTTGGAGTACCTATATAATAAAGTTACGAACGAAACTAAATTAATGGAAGTAAACGAAGAAATTAAATTACAGGACGAAAAACTCGTGAATTTCCAAGAAAAAATCATTAGTTTCCTAGGTCCCTAATAGAATAATATAAGTTGACTTATTAAATTACTGAAATTAAATATGCTAGGGACTAATCGTACCTCTCGTTTAAACGGCTACAGTTCTGGCATAGTCGAGACAGCTTAGCCAATGATACCTNTGATACTTACTCGACCAGTGAAGGTTATCTAGTCTGGGAATACCTTCTTGGAACCAGCAAATAATATGATACCTACATAAGAAGATAATGTTCCAGTCTCCTTCAGTTGCACAACACAGGAGCCTTGGGCAGACTGAAAGCCGCGCTGGTGCCGTCCATGCCGGAATGCTCCTCGCCATCTGGCTTTGCTTCAGCTCGCATTAACGACGTTCGATCCGCACTCATACTGGTCGTTGGAGGGCTGGTAGCTGCTTTTGTGATAGGTAAGATCTAAAGTACGATTTGTGTATTGAGCTCTACTGTATAGGGCCTAGAATATAAATTGACGCGGAAAGGTTCATAAACTAGCGTAGATTCAAGCCACTGATTGATTTAAGCCCAAAATAACACAGTTTCAAAGTAAAATATTTTTTGAGTGTCATTAATCAATCACTAGACCCGTAAGTTGATCATTTTTTTAAGAGGAAATCATGAGTTCTTTTGCTATCTTATTGTTATAAATTGTGTTATCTACCCACGTAAAGTCCACTTGCGTAACTTCTTAATCTCTATCAATCAACTTCAACTAAATGAACAGCTAGACTACAGAGATGGAAATTAATATCTTGATGAAATGCGAGAAGCCATTGAGCCATAAAGCTAATTATTTAACTAAAACCGTAGTATTGATTTATTGGTAGTGATTTCAGTAGTGTATAGTAGGTACATGACAATGTATTAATTTAAGTTTCTTTATATTTTAAAGGTCTTGCGGAATACTGTTGGAAGAATCGGAAAGCATTGCAAATTGCTTTGTTGACATATTGGAGGCGGCTTGTTAATTTTGCTAAGTTAAATTAAGTAGAATAATGTACGCCTTCATTACTAGTCCTTGTTCAATCCAACATGATTCACGTAGTGATTGTTATAGTTGATCAAAGTTGTTGTATTTGAGCAGTACAATACAATAAAGCCTTTTTGTTTGATGTAATAATTATAAAATTTGTATTTGGCAGGCATTGGATTTGTACGAAAGAAATCAACTGGAAAATTTGAAAAGGCTCTAGAAATAGAGGCATCACAATTACAAAGCTGAAAATGTAGTCATTATTTTCATAAAACCTGTAATATTCCGTTTCGGTGGGGGAATTTTATTTTCGGAAAGTGTATCTAACTGAAATCACTGAGTAGATAATGACTGGTAGGCTTTTAACTTCAAAAGAAAAGTGTTCATAGAAAATACTGGTATAGTCAGCGTAAAATGGTTCGTGACACCCAACGTGGCCAAAAACAAATTGGAAAACATCCAGTTATTTGGTTCAAAATAATGGAAACCTTTTACCTGGAAAGTTTTCTAAAAGGCGCTATTTTTTCGATATTTCGGCTCACGCGGAATCCATACGAGGTCATACATTGAAAGCTATAAAAACATCAATTTTCAGAACTGGTAAAATTAACAAATGACTGGCGAAATTTTTGGTTACTTGTGTCACAAACTACTTGACTCTGACTGTACCTGTCATTGAAGATTTTATTCTTTTGCTGGTTTTATCAAGAAAGAGAGAGTAAAATAATGTATTCTGGTTGTTTACCCATATTCCTGAAAACGTACTATAACGTCATACTTTAAATTATACCTGTATAAGTAAAAGCTTATTTCTTTGTTCAGCTACTGGCAAAAGGAGTTTGCGTTAAAATCCTTCCTTATCTACGAGTATGACTTTCATGAGAAGTTTTTCCTGTATAATTATAATAACCCCGGGCGTTTGGAAGAATAATTAATATAATGGTGTTTTAATGAGCTCATTAGAAAGTTCCCAATTGACTCCGTTTTTGCTGAAAACTCATTTTACGAAACGAAATCAAATAGGTAATGAGTGTGTTCCTAGAGAAAAATCGTTTTTACCAAATGATCGGCAGAAATGTATCCTCAATTGACTTTTCTTTTTGAATAGGTACTTGAAATTCACTGCACGAGTAATCGTAGAATTGAGTAATTGTCTAAAACACTTCATTAGTAAGTAATATTAATTTGTTTGTAATTGCTTTAATTAAATGTAATAAAATAGAAATTGTGAATGTTTACACATTTGACTTTACATTAATATCCTAATTAGAAATTATACACGTTTACAGTCACATTAAGAACTTAGGCATATTTCTTGACAATTTATTTTGTATTGAAGAAGTTAAAAAAGTATAATTGAAAATTGTTTTCATGCTAAGACCTATGTAGGTACCTATCTGATATTCCTGTTGACTCCTTGGTATGTAAGCTAAAAACATAACCCTCCTTCTGGCGCAGTCGGGTAAATAGTTGTATCGGGAGATTTATTTATTTTCTTTATCATGATGTTATATCTGTCAAAATAAAGATTCAACTACACTCGCGTGCATATATCGCCATCGCTGGCGCGATCATAGGCCAATGACAGGTCGCGCTACCCATGACAGTCCACGTGACCTGTCATTGATCTATGGCGATCTCACGTATTGGTGTGGTTGAAGTATAAATGAAACTTTACACTTTAGTTTATACTTTACTGGATATTAATAATTGTATCTAAGTATCAGCAAGCATCAGCCTCGTTGTAGATAATGGCCCGCGGGAAGGCTCTGTTTCGACACAGCTTCGTCTAGACACGTCTGGACAGGACGTTTCGAACTGAAAAGTTTGTTAATTAATTTATTTGTTAAATATTAGTCGAAACTTTACTTAGTACTAACAGACTAATTAGAAAAAAAACCCGGCATAGTTTAAAAATAATTTTAACGAGCTTTTTTTTAAAAATAATAACTCGAACAAAATAACTGATGTACCGTCTTATTCCAAGTTTTATTATGCTTGCGTTTCATCGAGCGGAAAATTAAGTTAAGTTAATAAATATCGAAAACATTTATTTGTATTTGGCCGCGTATTTTATTACATTAGAATTTTTTTTTCTCAACTTACATTAGAGAACTTTTAGAATATTAAGAAAAGCAGTTATCAAACAACAATTATAATTTTTGTACAATGATCGTAATTTATTTACGAACTATACTCGTTATAATAATACGTTATAATACATTCTATTTTGCAATAAAAATGTGTAGTCTGATATGCTGTCGATTCTACATTGAAATAAGAGATTTGAGACTGCAGAAGATTGAATTGAGTCTCAGGCTTCACTAGGGCATTATAACCTTCTTTCTTTTGTTATGTAATTAAAAAAATATCATAATAATGGCAAAATTGTGACTTACTTAGCTGCTTCAGCGAGAGCTTTTTGGAGTACCGGTGTGTCTATAGTCTTCAAGTCTGTGGCCAGGTTCAAGGCCGCCCATACCCGGATGAAAGCTGTGGTGCACCCGGAATCTAAAAAACAAACATATTTTATTCAATTTAGACCACTGGTGGCACTTATGAACGTCAAATACAGTTAAAAAAAAAATTAGCCCTTATGAGGCACTTTACATGTCTCCATATGGGCCCTACGGAACAATCTCAGTCACCACTAGTACAACAAAACAATTGTGTTTATTTCCAAATCCATGCCTTATAACCCTGACTTCACCAATAGGAGGAGGAAAGATATTGTTGCACATGCTCCTAGATTTAAAACCTTCTTTGCAAAAAAGCAATATGATAGGCGTTCTGTGTATCTCTATAACTTACTTATTAAGGAGATTAATATTTATGACAAAAATTACTTCGAGTGCAAGAATCTTTTAATGAAATGGCTGAAGCCAAAATCTTATGACGACATTGAGACAATCTTAAACTAAACTAATAAAATTAAAATAAAAATAAAAATAAAACACACATGTACACATTCACACATACACTCACTCACTCACATATACACTCTCTCTCTCACACACACACACACACACACACACATACACACACACACACACACATACACTCACTCACTCCGCGCGCGCCATCCTCCTTACTTTGTTACTACAGATATGTTACTTAGTATACCTAGTTGATATTATGTAGTATTAGTGCTTACTTTTATTTTTGTATAAGTACCTATTGAATTGTATTTACGCACACATAATATTCCAAGGAAGAGCGATGTCTCCTGGCACAGGCTTCTTTAAGCTTAAAAGGAGGCATCGATCATTATTAATTATAAGCAATTCCGCTGGTAATGAAATAAAGATTTATTATTATATTATTATTATTATAGCTCTTAACCAGACTTAAGAGAAAATTATATTTATTGGTTTTCAAACTTATGTTCACAGCTTAAAGTTAAAATTGGTGTGAGGTCTATTTAATTAATTTAAGCTCTACGTTGTAGGGTCAAGTTTGTTTATACCCATAGTAATAGTCAGATTTGATGTTAAATTTGTGAAATCTGGCGGAAGATTAAACTATTAATTAATTTTAGTTCAGTTTGTATAATAACAAAGTTATTAGGTTCTGTGTGTACTCGTAGCATGAAATATGATTGTCTATTATATTGTTACAATAGAACATTAGAAAACCATAAAAATATTTAATTAATACATGCTCGTAAGATTAAAGATTTTATTATTATTGATTAATTTTGTGTGTAGGTAAGCTCTGCACTCGATTTTGGAAGAAAATAGTTGGTAGTCTGATGTACTATCGCCTGCACTAAGCTAATACGGATACCACATTCATTAATTAAGTTAACTAAACTAAACTTAATTATGTGTAGGTAGGTCCTTACCATAAGTGCCATATTCGTCTGATTTGTAGTCATAAGGCATCATGTAGTGGTAGTGAGGCCAGAATGTCTTGGTTAGTATGAACAGCCAGTTGGAATCTGGTGGGCATCTAAAAGATAGAAAACAATTTTAAAAAATATAGGTAACACAAGGTGATGAAGGATTATGTGGAGCCACCCTAAAATCTGACGCTAAAAGATTGCTACATATAATGAAGGTGGACGAAGTGCCACTCGAATCTATCGATAACTACCACGCTTTAAGATTCAACTTTGTAAATAGCGCAAAATATCCAATTCATAATTTTATTTACTGAAAATCAAATCTGCATAGAACTCCGTCGAAAATTGCGCTATTCATATCGAATTCAAAGATAGTTAGCGCCAGCTGCTGGCTTCAATACTATACTATAATGGGTAAGAACTTGCTTACTTTTCCCCAGGCTGGAGTCCCCAAACGCAGATGCCGCTTTCCACGAGCCAGGAGGCGTGCAGGATGACGAGGTACCGCGCGAACCCGATCACGAATACTGCGCTCAGGATGGAGTCATTCCAGTACTCGAGCGGAGCGTTCAGTGGCAGCAGCACGAACAATATACCGTACATGATCCAGTATGCTCTGAAAAATAGTGGGTTATAATCATTGAAGTAATATTACTACGTAGTACATTATAACTCAATGGTTATAATAAATACAGATTACAGAAACTAAAGGGAGATGTGACAAGGGGGCGGGGCCGGTGTCACAACAATATGCCCTAAAACAGAACACATTGCTCGTGAAAGCAATGATGACAGCGGCGACGTCATAATGTAAACAGTTTACATTGTTCGCGTAGTAGGTTCGAACGATGAGTACTAATAGGTACCGCAGTGAATAATGGGCACATATTTTGATCACTTTGTTTGTGTGAATTTCTAATGCGACACTGAGTTTCGAACTCAGCGCATTAGTTGGTTATAACATAATTTGAAATAAAATAAGTTATAGGTATGATTTCGTAGCCGTTTCCATTCCATGTTGCAGAAACTTGTTTCTAATTCTATGTACTCTTATTTCTCTAAAATAGTTCCGTTGCTAGCGACACGTCGCCTGAAGTTATTTCATTGAAATAGGTATGTACACACGTACGAGTACATACCAGATGTCGTCTGCCGCTGCGTGTAGACTACGAACGTGAATCTTATCTAGATTTTTTGGTCGAATGCTCGCACAAAGGGTTTCAATTGCGCTGTATAATTTGAATTAGCATACAGATCGAACTTTAAATGGCTTTAATTCTATCTCGAAGAGCTTTTAAATTGATAACGAGTTTTTTCACATCACACATGAATCACTTGAAAAAAGAAAACCTTAGTAGGCTTTGAAATTTGATTATGATATGGGTCAGTCTTCGCGCTTTGTGTGATTTGTAGCAATAATTGTGCAGAATTCGCCGTCAACCAAAAGAAGGCAGAAGCAGAAAATCCTCTTTAGCTATTAGCCTTCATTTGTCTCAATGTTAGACGGGGCATAAAACTCACTTGCTCTGGAAGACCACAACAGGGTCATTGTCAAGATCCGACATGTCGATCTCGCTCTTGAGCTTCTCCTGGAGCGGGCTCAGCTTGCGCAGGCGCGCGATGACGTGCGCGTACCCGAAGCCTCGCCTGTAGTCGAACGGATCCGCGTCTGTTGCGAACGTGGCGTGGTGCAGAGGTCTTAAGCTTTAAACCAAAAGAAGGCTAGAAGCGAAGAATGATAACCCTCTACAGAAAATAAGCCTTCTTTTGTCCTTTGATCTTGATAACTGGTATCTCTCACTTGCTCTGGAAGACGACGACTGGGTCGTTATCCAGGTTCAACATGTCAATCTCGCTCTTAAGCTTTTTCTGGAGCGGGCTCAGCTTGCGCAGATCCGCGATGACGTCTTCAGCTCCAACAGAAGCCTTCTTTTGTTGCAATGTCAGAAGGGATATAAAACTGACATGAATCGTTACTTACTTGCTCTGGAAGACCACAACAGGGTCATTGTCAAGATCCGACATGTCGATCTCACTCTTGAGTTTCTCCTGGAGCGGGCTCAGCTTGCGCAGGCGCGCGATGACGTGCGCGTACCCGAAGCCTCGCCTGTAGTCGAACGGATCTGCGTCTGTTGCGAACGTGGCGTGGTGCAGGCGGTGGTACTGCACCCAGTCGTAGATTGTGCCCTGAGCAACAGGAATAAAAAATAATAATTTATTTTATTTTTATAAACATCAATCTTTTAAACTGCGATCTCCAACCCGCCTGCCAAGCGTGGAGATTATGGCAAAACCCTCCACTATAGTGGAGGAGGCTCATAGTCCAGCAGTGGACTGTAAAGGGCTGTTGATAATGATGATGAATTTATTTTTATGGATAACAAGGCAGGTATTTGACCGCAATCGCACCTGGTGTTAAGTTAGATGCAAATAGTAAGACACGGGTCTTAACGCGACGTTTATTAATGAGTTACATTATGTACTCACGGCATCTCGTTTCGGCTGCGATGCTGCAGCCGTTTAAGACCCGTGTCTTACTATTTTAATTGAAATCGAATGCGAACGTTTAAAATCTTAAGCTAGATGCAGTCTAGGATGCTACATTATCTGCCCTGTAAGTGCCTGTTCACGCTCGTCTTAAAAAGGCCCGGATTATAGTGTACGGGAAAGACAGAAGCAGGCAGTGAATTCCAGTCCCTAACTGTGTAGTGTAACGAACATAGAATTAAACGCGTTATTAATCTAAGGTAACAAAGTAACGAAGGGTTGGCATTGCGTGAACGGTTGGCAGGAAAAGTTTTGGGGAGACCATTCCAGCAGTAAACGTCTTTCGGCTGACAAAAATTGTAGTTAACAAAGCGTTTCTTAAACTATGTTCTAATGTACAGCTAGGGCTAGGAACTACACTAACATCTAAACTTTTGATGTAGGAATCAGTCTGCAGCTTTATTTAAAATCAAATCAAGTCAGATGTTGAATCAATTATTTGCTTACAGAATTTCAGATTAATATAAAAAGTGCAGTTTGAATTTTTTCATTTTATTCTTCGTCTTGTAGGTAGGCTGTAACAGGCTATAGATGACCCACGCTGAACTGTCCCACCAAACTCAATGACAGGGGGGCGCTACCATCGTTCGACTATATGGTTTCCAACATGGCAAAAATCAGAACCATTGATCCGGTATTGACGGTGGCGCCCCACTGTCAATGTCATGCATAGGACAGTTCAGTATTTTGGAACTATAACAGCTAACAACCCTCTTTCCGTAATTTTGACGCAATCAAATATGATTGTCGTTCACTTTGGATTTAATGAGTCCGTCGGGCTTCAAAATCTCTTTTCGCAATGTTGAATAGAATGAAATTGGAAAATTAAAATTTTAATGTAAGTATTTATAGAAAAAAAAACATACCAACCGAATTGAGAGCCTCCTTTTGTTAAAGTGAATCAACAAAAACGAATCAAGGTACAATTCCAAGACGGGCCGCAGACCGCAAACTGCAACCGCAAACTGCCAATCTCTATGCTATACGCGCCGCGCAGCTGCAAGTCGCGCTGCCANACCTACCATGAGTTTACGATAAGACAGTGTGCTCGCTAGCGAGTACGTCAAAAATCTCTGTGAAAATTTTGTTTCTTGAAAGTAGCCGCTAGGGGCGCTGAACAATATGTCATACAAGTAATGTCATTTTTTTACGCAGTCACTAGCGAGCACACCTAACGTAAACTCATGGTAAGTACACAGATTTCATAGAGTACTGTATTTACCTGACCCGCCAATGTTTGGAATATCATCAGCGCGATTCGAAGCCCAGTGCTGGCCTTGTACGCCCCGTGGGCCCAGAGTCGGTGGGCGCCTGCCGTCACCCCCAGAACCGCTACTGACGATAGCACCACCACTGGAATACATATGTTATTATAAGTACAATGGTAGGTATACAAAAAGAAACCCTATTGGCGACAGAGTTAAATTTTGAACAGCCTCTTTTGCTCAATATTTGAGCAGCGTGTAGCTTTAGGCACGGGCCATGATTTGTTGCAACTTAATTACGTAACTTAGGCTGAGTTTCACCATCTTACTTTGACTTTAACAAACGTCAAAAATCTGTCAAATTCCATACAAAACACAGCGGTTATCGTCATAGTTACGCTCAAAATTAGGTGGTGCAACTCAGCCTTAGTATAGCTTGCCACCACGTTAATCTCTCGTTTGTCAAACACTAGCTTAACGCAATAAATTAAATTAATCTAAAGCGGATGCTTTAAGTAAATACCAATAATTGCCAGACGTCTCATCGCGGTACAGTACGTTTAGAGGTTGCAAAGCAATATGTGATTTCAAAATTACGTAATTCTGAAACGATGATATAACTATAATTATGTATATTTAATTTAACCTCTATTTCAAAGGGCAGAAAAGTTTCCAAACTGATGAAAATAACATCTTTACTTACATAACAATAGAGTCATCCATTTAGCTTCGAATATAACCAGCCATATACCATAAAAGGAAAGGAGGTGGATGTGAATGAAGAACAGAACCGCTGGCCAGTTCGCCTCTCTCACTTTACTTAGGCTCGTCCCTTCTGACTCCATTTTATGTGCTCGACACTGCAAATAGAAAATAACAGGTTATTACTGCTTGTGCTAAAAATGTACATAGTAGATAGATAGACATACAGAATTCAAGTCTCTATTTTTAATTACATGGATTTACGCTACTCTGATAAATGGGAGATAATGTATTATATTTACTATCTTAAAGTGCATATAGCCTGTAGTTGCCAGATTAAGTTTAATACATTATTAATTTTGATAAAGTTGCATAGGTACATCTACTTGTTTTGTACCTTTATCTTAGGGACTTAACAGAACCGTCAGGAATAAGGTCAATAGACCAGCAAAATTGATGTATTAACAAATTGTAACTAAACTATGTTAATAATACTCAAACTGTGATTTAGTAGAGTACACCGATCGATGATAGTTTGGTGTCAATATTATTCGCCTTTATTTGTTAGCGAAATTGCAAATCTCTATTAGCACTGCACTTTGAAGCTCTCGGCATCTATTAGAGCTGTGTATCGATCTTCAATTTGTAAGCCAATCAGGCGGCGTCATACTCTATTGCATATACATACTTAAAGTTGCTTGTTTATGCACTAAGCTACAAACGACCTATATCAATGAGCCTTCCGTTTGCAAGCGTTTGCGTAAAACCACTAATTGGTATTGTTCGGTAGGAATCATTACTCTCACAAGATTAGTCAATTAATTTAATGAATTATCAGGATATTACGATGAAAAGTAAGTATGTGTAAAAGGCTTTTGATGAGTTCAATTTGAAAACATTATTTAACAATCAAGTAAAGGCAATTTTTCAATCTAATGCAAAAAAAAAATGCTCATTTAGGTTATCAAAGGTTTTCGCAAATAAAATTCTGCATCGGAAATTAATCGAAATCAGTACAAAATTAATCCTTCAAGCTCCGCGAATCTAGACACAATAGTAATCAATTGTTATGACATTAATTAATGCCGTCTGGGATTCAATCGGTTAAAATAAGCTTTCACTTCTTCAAGTTATCAGTGCTTAGACTTCTCGGAGTGACATTTATTTTTGTAATGGTATTTTCTTCTTTAAGGGTCTATGCACACCACCTTTTTTAGGCGTAGTCGACGGTTGTTTTACAATCGTGATTGTTGAATCGTGGTTGTTTTACATTGATTTCCTGCATAAATCGCGTACACAGCGCGTTTCAATTGCATGGAATGTGTGTCGAAGGCGCCTAAAAACGCGGTGTGCAAGGACTCTTTTTTTTTTCGGTGTTTAAAATGCATTGAGTTGCATACCCGCCGCTGTGGTCAGGCGACGGGTTATGTGGGGCTCTCCCCTCCAGAAGGGAGGGGCCTACCCACTAAAAATCCACCATCTCCGTCTCGCTGAGCATAGATGGGAGCCGGTGTAGCGAGGCCTTTCCCGACATGTTCCACCTATGCGCAGACCGTCTGCTATGCGTGCAGACTCCATCTTCGACCACGCCATCTTTTATTTTTACAGTGACAGTTTTTTGCACTGCCACTGGCCACTCGGAGATATACAACTATATACAAATTAATGATACAAATGTACAAAGTGCTTATCTATATTTACATAATATACAATGGAGGCCAGCGGGTAGGTGTAAAGGTCTATCCGCTGGCACTCATAATGGACCTTACGCTATGACTAGTATTTGACTAGGTGTCAGAGACGACGCGCAAAAGCACGTCGCCTCCGGCCCAACCTTCTCCGCCGAGCAGGGTCAGCGAGGGGATCTACCTCCCTGGCTCGCTCGGCTTCCTCCTTTGCCGACATAACGGTCTCGCAAAAGATTTTCACCGCGTCCCATCCGTTGTCACTGTCGACCATGGCTCTGACCACCGCCGGCAGTGTTACATCCAGTCCGATATGTGCGCGTAGCGCAGCTCTTTGTTGTGTCCATTCCGGGCAGTCTTCCAAGGTGTGCTCCGCTGTATCAACAGCGGCGCCACAGTGGTGACATTGAGGTGTCCTCTCCCGACCAATACGGTGCAGGTATTTCCCGAAGCAACCATGCCCGGTCAACACCTGCACCATGCGATATGTGAGAGAACCACTGCTCCTCTCTACCCACTGTCGTAAGCAAGGTTGTAGAGCGGCGACTGGACCCTAGGACTTTGTTTCTTGAGACGCTACTAATTAATTTATTTTTGTAACAATGTTCACCCCTCTTAGTTGTAAAGCGTAGGAGTTGGCCCGATATACGTATTCCATTATATTATGTAGCTAAGCTATGTAGGTACTTCAAAAGTTTTAAAGTAATTCAAAAGGATTCCACAGGGCTCTCAAACTCTACAGAATACAAAGCTTGCTTTCTCATAGCTATGGAACTTAGCCTGCCACGGTGCACTGGTAAAGCGATCTATAATATCGATTCCAAGAACTTTGTTTTTATAAAGACAAAAGAAATATCGGCACGTTCTTTTCTCTGCACTCTCGCGAATTTGTTTTTCAAGTTTCCGCTTATAAACCAAAAAAAGAGGTGTTCACCGAGCCATTTTAAATCCTATGACTTATAATTAGAAGAGAAAAATATGTAAAATTGGCGCCTAATGAGCATAATCCTTTGGCAGCGTTGCCTTATAATAATATTTTATATTATAGTACAAAAGCTGAACTGTATGTGAATGGTATAATACTCATAAAACACGAGTAGATTAAGAAAAGTGCGCAGTTAAAATCAATATCTTTATCTAGTTCTTGCTAGTTGAAATAGACTCTACAATGAAACCTTGTCAAGAAAATTAAATTAATTTTGTTTAGGTAAGTGTATTTGATAGAAGAAAAATAAAAGTTCCATCTGAGTTGAAAAAAAATAATTAACTTTTTAAAAAAATAAAACCGACTTCAAATGCGTGAACACAAAAAAAATTAAAAAAAAAAAATATTGCGTATAAAAAAGTTCATCCCCAATTTTCCACCCTTGGGGGTGAAATATTTTCTTCAAATTCGCATGAAACCACCCTTTTGATAATACCTATTCAACAAAAAAATAATCGTTCAAATTGATTTATAATCGGCGGAGATATTGCGTATAAAAAAGTTCATCCCCAATTTTCCACCCTTGGGGGTTGTTTTTTCTATTATTAAATTTAAATGGGACCACCCTTGAGGTATTACCTATACGCCGAAAAAAGATTTGTTCAAATCGGTTCATAATTGGCGGAGTTATCGCGTAACAAACATAGAAAAAAAAAATATACGGGTCGAATTGAGAACCTCCTCCTTTTTTGAAGTCGGTTGAAAACTAAACTATACAATAGTAAGTAGGTAGCTTGATGTCGCGTGGATTTTATTATTTTGGGCTTCGCAGCCTCGTTGCAGATATTAAAAACTTGTGAAGTTATTGAAAATATTGCTTTCTCTGCTTATTCTCAGCATTTTATCATCACCAAATGTTATCATCTTCATGAATGGTTTCTGTTTTAACTTATCGTCATCCATCATTATATCTATCATCTTAGTATGTATTTATTTATTATATTATTTTATATATTATTTATGTATGTGTATTATGTAGCTTATTTGTTTTGCCGTCGCTTTGTTTTATTTAATTTTTTTTTTGTTATACCGCCAAACTAATTTTTCTGCATAACCCAAAGGTAAACTGGATGAGAATGCCTTATGGCATTAAGTTCGCCTAATGTTAATATTTTTGGCATTGAAGTATAAATAACCAAGTTAATTTGGCATTGAAGTATAATTAACCACCTTCGGCCTGATCATCACTTACCATCAGGTGAGATACAGGCCAAGAGCTTCCTCGTTGTGGAAAAAAAAAAAAAAAAAAAAAAAAAAAATTTTACCAAATAATATCAGAAGCAGTGTTGAGTACATTCAAAAGTTATAATTAGAACGTGCAAAAGAGTCAAAATTTTCTATATCTTTAATTATAAACCATTAGGTTTGAAATTTATTTTGGGAACTTCTTACAAGAGGCTCTTGCCGCTTCGAAGAACTCTTATCCAAATCTTAAGCACCTTCAACTTGATATTTCACGCCAAAATGCCATGGCAGGTCACCATCGATCCGATAAGTAGACGCAAATGATTTTTCTCATTAACTTGGGTTTAAGGGATTTGCGGTTGAGTCAAAGTGAACGCAGCCCGCACGGATTGCGTTCTTTGCTCGTGCCCGCACGATGAAATTACATCAATACATATAGACCTATGATGTTGTTCGTACAGGCTGCGTTCACTTTGACCTTTCAAATCCTCATTCATTTACCTGATGTTTTCTACGCCAGTGCTCACGCAGAAAACGTATTTATAAGTTACCTATCAATAATTGATTTCTTTGAAACCTATCCGAAAATAGCAACGAACACTTTTTGTGCTTTTGTATATTTTCGCCAATCATTGTAAAGCTACAGGGGGTCGATCAGAGAGCTTTTCCCCTTTGTAATAGAGATTAGATTACTTTTACTGGTATTTTCCAAGTATTTTATGATAGCAGTTTTGATTTAGTTACTTAAAACTTTATTGAAATTAAAACAAAGTACATATAAAAGAATGCTTTAAATGGTATTCTCTCCAGCAAGGAGAAATAACTGAAGCTTTTAATTTTGCACAATTGAAGCTTTTTGTTTAAAACATGAAAGACTCTACATCCGGTACCGCCAAATATTGTATATTTCCCCTACCCGCGTGCTATTTAAACGTCATGCTCTCAAATACGATACAAAATCGGTTGAAGAAATCAAGAAGTATGTGAGTTTTATATTTTTAAGTTTTTAAATTGTTTACGAAATGAGGCTAGTGCTTTAAGCAAGCAAAACTTCTTCTTCTATGCATTCTGGTTAACATGAATAGTTAAAAATCCTACTAAATATACCATAATTGCTGCGTTGTAGAAAACATGAAACCTAAATGCTCAATACCGTCGATTTTAGCTAAACTTGTTTACCAAGGTTATTACGTTGGATTATTATATTTATCGTTGTTATTGCGCTTGCAATGGACATAATGAATGCATGTGGCAGGTAGTCTAGAAAACAAAACAAACAATGATCTTACCTAATTATCCTTGAACTTATTGGCCACTGGATTGTTATTCACTGGACAATGCGGTAACTATTTCGAAAATGCTTAAGATGGCACTGATGACGTATCACATAACACATAATCTTACGTGGAAAGTTGAAATTAGTTCACGTGTTAAATCATTTTATTTGATGCCATATTACGCGTCTAACGACCGGCTGTAGGTAGCATCGACTGCGCTTAGTATTCGTGCAGTATCATGTTTCCTGGCATTAACCTTACGTTTCAATTACATCACTAAGGTTACTATAATTAAATGCGGCTATTGAATTATGCGATTGCATTCAAGTCACGTCATTAGAACAATGAAATATAAATTAACGTTTCACTTTGATTATTAAAATTAAAGAAGTCACTTTAGAAGATGGTTTCAGGATTTTGGAATATGGGTATTTGATTCCTAAAAAGTACAGTAATGTATGCTTACGTCACATCTTTAAATTACATCAATTGCTATTATGTGAACTGTATAATCTAAAATACATACTTAAAATTCAATATTCATGTCATTCACCATGATGTATAGTCGCCAGTAATAATATTTAGCAGTGTTGCGAGCCAAATGTAGAGTCACCTTAAAGACTAAATATATTTAGCATGCTAAGTTTTATGAGCTAACGAACGAACGAACGAACGAACCGACGAAGTAAAGACGTCGTTCGTTTTTTTTGTTCTTTCAGCCAAATGACGTCCACTGCTGGACAAAGGCCTCCCCTAAGGATTTCCATAACGACCGGTCCTGCACTGCCCTCATTCAGGCTCTTCCCTCGACCTTCACCAGATTCTCGATCCACATCCGCCTTAAAGAAAAATCGTCTTTAAAAGAAAGCTATCCTGCATTGATAAAATTAATCATATATCTCTGAATACTTCATCCATAAACAATACCCATGGAGACTTTTCAATATTATTATTTTCGTTGTTAAGTACCTAGACCACCTGTACATATGTAATATTAAAGTTCGATTTCAGATCGTGATTACTTCGCCTTACTTAAAAAAATAGTACTTAGGTAGATCATATCGAAATTAACACGAATGTAGCGTTTATTAGAGGCATTTCAGTGTTGCGTCACACACGCACTCTGGTTAGTTTCTCTACCTCTATTTAGGTTGTATATTGCTATAGGGCGATTGTCACTTGGTCACTCGGTGTCCTATATCGTAAGAGCGGTTTCAAATCCAAATCAAATAATTTTTTTTGCAATTGTAGGTAATGTATTACTTTCGTACTATGTCCGATCTGTATCCATGTCAATACGGCCCGTAGTAGAACTATTTTTAACGGTAGTTTACGCATTAGATCCGATATCTTTCATCCGATTTCTCTAGAAGTTTTCAAGACTGTATATTGACGAATTCGGATCGAACGAAGTGTTTTCCACACTTCAAAGTTAAAGTTAGATGGTGCAACCCAGCCTTAGAGTTGAGAGTTTCAGTTTTGTTGGCTGATTAATCTGCAAAGGACTTAAACGGGGCGATATTTACCTAACTATGCCAAGAATTGCACTGGTCAAATATTGGACTTTGCTTTTGGGAAATTCATTCAANACTTACCCTATGTCTAACCAGTTAGTGCTTCATTAGAAAATTTAAGGTTGAGTTGCACCATCTTATTTTAACCGTGACTATAACCATAACCGGTGCTTTTTGTATGGAATTTGACATAGTTTTGACGTTTGTTAAAGTTAAAGTTAAGATAGTGTTACTCAGCCTTAGTCATTAAAGCTTCAGATACGTTTATTTACATATAAATCAAACCTATTATTTTTTATTTATTATCGCGTTAAGAATTTAAGTAATTTTGTTACGAAAGATCCTCTTGTACCCTACTACTTAGTGTACATCGGATGTCCGGCGGAAGATTTATGTTTTCTCAATTAAATATGATACGAAGATATCGTTTTAATTAGCTATTGATTACGACTAACAACAAAAACATCCCCTACTCTGCTGAAAACATACGATAGTATTCTTTTGCGTCGTGAAATTCACATACATTCAGGAAATTTTATCAGATATTATGTGTATTGTGTAAGCAGAAGAAGAGTTCTATCATAATTCGTTTGTAAGGAGAAACTTTTATTGGCGGTTAAGCTGTAGATCCTGGCTACACAGGAGTTGCAGCGGTGGGAACGAGAGGTGGGAATAGTCCTGTTGTAAGGGAAACTTGTAATGTTAACTTGTTAAAGCTAACAGCTGTAAGTTTTCCTACAAAAAAATTTCAGTAAAGTAGTTGCCTACACGCAGGATACTATTACACATATTTTTGACTTTAAATGTACTCTTAACTGAATTTATGAGTCCATGTTAAATGTGATCATTTATTAAACGGCGTGTTTGAATAATTTATAGTTTTATTTACTTACTTTTGAAAATATTTTTTCATCAAATATCCGACTTACTAATATCCGCTATACTTAGGTACATCTACTATATAAAAATAAGTCGGGTTTTCCTCCCTGACGCTATAACTCCAGAACGCACGAACCGATTTCCACGGTTTTGCATTCGTTGGAAAGGTCTCGGGCTCCGTGAGGTTTATAGCAAAGAAAATTCAGGAAAATTTAACAAACGAAATTCCACGCGGGCGAAGCCGCGGGCGGAAAGCTAGTATTAGATAATAATAAAACTATTACCTGAATGAGTTGCGTGCAAATTAATCCGATTATTTTATGATCATTGATACATAGTAAGGATTGTGTGCACGCTTGCACATTGGATGCCCTACTTATAATATTCTACGTAATATCTTACTCAATATTTTTAAGGTATAACTAAATCGATTATAATGCCTTTAGATTTAGACTGACACACAACTATCTTTCCGAGAAATAAAAAAGCGCATTACTCAAATAACACCAAAATATTACCTGCTGATATGGGAGAAACCGCTAGTTTCTACTAAACTATTATACGAGAAACCGCGAGTTTCTACTAAAATTATGGAATTGAATGAATGAATAAATAAATAAATAAATAAATAATTAACTCGACAGTGCTTCCTCTACCGAGCCATTACCGAACTAATAATTCCGCTATTGATATTTCATTTAGGTTGTAATAAGTTAATGCCTGGAGCTGAATTATTTCCATTTACATTTGCTTTTGAGCGTGATCTCTTAAAGTTAATACATTTTTATACAGAAATAAATTTATTGATTTATTTATTTATTTGAATTGAACCCATTATTAATTTAACAGGACGTTGTGGAAATCCGTGGAAGTTCTTTGTCCAGCTGTGGACGGTATTAGGTTGGGGCAATGAATCCGTTATCAGAAAGATCCTGTGCATTATTGCGCAAATGTTTGCTATCCCAAATGAAACTAAAACAAAATTGGTAAAATAAAAGATCAAACACTAATTAAGTACAATGATATTGAGATACTCAAAACATAGGTGGGATACGAGTACCCACCTACTTAGTTTTCGTTTGAATATTCAAATAAAAAAACACATTGTAGTGTACCTATTTAAGAAAACTTCCAGACGACTGTCTGCGTATTCCTATCTAAACTAATTAAGTCAGAAAATTCTCAAAATACTACACTTTAAATCGTCTAGTGTCTATTTTTAGGAAGTGCAACGTACAGCGACAACTCATCAGACTATTCATTTTTGTTACAAAATAGCCTGCATTACAACGAGATAAGACGCCACTGTGTCTAGCTTGATGTGCTGTCGTCCGTACCTATACGAGTTTAATGATAGATACCTAGGTGTAGAAGCCTCTAAACACCAGAATATTAGCTCAGTAGGCCTAGGATGCGCACAATGATAACCATTTATCGCGCCATTTTGTCGATTTTACGCGACAAACCCATTTACATTTGTTGTCTAAAATGATCGATAAGATTTTATCTGATCACTATGAGTACTCGTATAGTTATGCAAATAGATAAAAATGGACGTATTTATTTGAACTTTTCACTTACCTTGACTATTCCTTAGAATCCGTCCGTATGTCCACGGCCAGGCCGCCCAGCGAAGTGTCGCCAGCAGAGCAATCGCGCCAAATAATTCATTCGCTGAACTCGATGTCAAGTCGTATTTTAAAATGGTAATTAACTTGACTTTGTTAGTGCGTAAAGCAATAGCAACCGAGTACAGAAAGTATGAGCATGATTGTAGTAAAATATAACAAAATTTAAATCTATAACATTTTGTTCCTATTAAATTATTCAGTAAGTATACCTATGTACTCGTATTACGCAATTACGAAATACTGACCCGTATAAAAATACAAGCGTGTTACTGAAATAGTAACTTAATTTAGCATAAACGTTATAAAATGATTTTAGCTAAAATATTATTCAATTACGTTGTTATCTTTAGTACTCTATTTATATTAGTACCTAGTATCTACTCTTAATAATTTATTTTTCCTTCCAATGTGAGTGGTCGAACTTTGGACCTTTGGGCACACTTTGAGCATAGACAAACACTTGAAATAGCAGAGCCGAAAATACAGATACACACAGGATTAAGGCAGATGTACGACGATCGGTTCTATTTTCCACGAGAAAAATCTATTTTCTGTAAAATGTAGGATTTTCCGGAGAAGAAAAGCCGGTCCTTATGTAATTTTAAACCACCGACGTTACATCATTTATTTTATTTCTGTATATATCGATCGAAATCGACATTAAATTTCCTGCCGTTGAATCTTCAATAATACTTCTCTTCCTTTATCCAACCTCGATGATAAATTGTACTGATATGAATGGACTACTATGCCGAGAGGTTCGATTCCCGGCCGGGCAGAAATTGAAATGATGAATTTTAATTTCTGTGAAGGGTCTGGGTGTTACTATACATAATATGTACTTATGTATTTAAAAAAAAAGGTATTTATTATAAGTATGTTTTTATATCCGTTGTCTAGTGCCCATAGTACAAGCTTTGCTTAGTTTGGGACTAGAGGCGCAGTGTAAAATGGCCAAAGATATTTATTTATTTATATGTATAGTTTCAAAGAAATAAAAGAGTTTGTTTAATGTGAAATACTTATTTATTAACTTATAGCATCGATTTCCCATGTTCATTGTCTACCGATTTTTAAGAACTATATTAACGGACTAGGCCATTTCGATACGAAATAAAGAAATAAAATACACGTCATTGTTTAAATACTGCTGTTAAGATGAACTACACTGAACTGTCCCACCCGTGACACTGACAGGGGGGTGCCACCATCAATAACGGATCGCTGGTTCCGATTTATGCCAAGCTGGAAACTATGTAGTTGAACGACGGTGGCGCCCCCCTGTCAATGTGTTTGATGGGACAGTTCAGTGTAGTTCATCTTTAATGAACCTGTGACAAGTTCACCTTTGAACCATATCAACTGTCACAACACCTGCTTGATAACGGTCTAATACCTAATCATGTCATGTAAAACAAACCTAAAGTAACTCATTAATTCCCTTGCGAGGGGTAATGTACTGGATTTCATTAAAACTTCGAGGGCAATAATCTTGTTTGAATTTGAAACGTCGAAATTCATATGATTAGTATTCAACCTCTTTGATTCGGAATCGGAATAGGAAATTAGAATTTTATGTTTTACTATTCCTATCTACTACGTAACTTTAAAACATCAAAACATCATTTTCAGGCGAGCCGTAAGAAAAAAAAACTGTTGTTTGCTTGCGATGGAAAAATAAAAGAAATATTATGGATAGAAATACTCCGGTAATAATGTGATGAGTGCGATTCCTCAAACAGTGGCTGCCATAGGAAACACTGCCTTGATTTTTCTTTCAGGCACTTTAAAATGGCACTAAAGATATAGGTATGTCAACGCGAAATTGGGAACTCCGTCAGTTTATAATATAACGCGTAAGATTGTAAACTAACAGTGGGTTAGGTTAGGTTAGATTGTAATTTAACTACGTCAGATTATAATCTGACGGAATTCACAATATTACGGTGACAGGTAACCTGAGGTACACACAGAAAAACTGTTTGCATAAAATTAGTTCTAACTAAAGTTCAGACAGGTGCAGATGTTGGTTCGTCATTGGTATAGGGTTCAAATATGAATATGCTGGATCGAATAAAAATATATTTGTAAACCCACTCCTAATACAATCATTAAAATAAGCTGGAGGATTTAACGGAAATATTATTAATTAAAATCTAATGTAGCCAGCCGAAAGCATATCAGTGGACTGAGTGTGAGTACATCAAACGGCCTCACTAGTGATCGCGTTAAAAATACATATATTAAAATTTTAGTTAGAAAGTTTTCTAGGGGCGCTGTACAATCCGTCGTCCATTTAATGTCATTTTTTTACGCGCTCACTAGTGATGACGTTTGCTGTAAACTCACACTAAGCCCTCAGGCTATACATATTTTTTTATTGAAAAATAGCAACTATCACAATTACATAATAAAGTAGGTATCTCAGTACTTAGCTTGATGTGCTTTTGTCTGGGAGATTGAGCAAGGAATAACTGAGATTGTTCAGACGAGATTTCCCAAAGCACTACCGAATTAAACTTTAGGAATTGTCAAAACAAATAATACTACCTAATTACAAATAACTTATACTTCGCCAATTTGCTCAAGATCAGTGTGCTTAGTGCTTACCATGGGTTTACGTTAGATGTGCTCGCTAGCGACTGCGTAAAAAAATAACATTATGATGTATGAGATATTGTGTAGCGGCTACTTTCAAGAAATAAAATCTTCATATAATTTTTTGACGTACATACGAGTAGCTAGCGAGCACACCTAACGTAAACTCATGGTAAGTACACAGGTGACATCATAGTGACACTAGAGACACAGCGGAAGAGAACTTTAGTTATTTATAAAAATATGTAAAAACAATAGTTAGGAAATACTTTTACATTATTCAGTACCTAATAACAATAACTGCTTAACTTTTATTTACAAAACTCTTACAAAATATACCCTTCTCCCTTTGTTTCAGATGACTGGTAACAAATAAAACGTTAATTCATAATAATGTGAAATTATTTACAAAAATGCTTTAGATTTCTGAATGAGACGTCATGGTCGTAGTAAAATGAATGAAAATATTACATATTTTCAATGTGTTATTATTTCTGCCGTTATATGAGAAAACATGTTTCCCGCCACCGCGTTTAACATACTTTGAAAAGTAAGTATTATTGTAGTACAAGACACAAGAAATATACATAGCAAGATAATAGAGTTCGGTACTAGGTACTACGGGAATACTTATTATGCAGGAAAGAAACAAACATTGTCTGTTTTGCTTAAAAAATAAAGACTAACGTACCTATTATCAACTTTACATTCTGAAAAAATAAACTGAATAAAGAAAAATAAAATAAAATAAAAATTCTTATCAGCTCTACATTATGGCGTAAGTATTTGGATGATACCTACACGTGTCACTAAAATATTGTCAAATGGGATCGATTAAAAACAAAACTAACAAGTCTAATAATAAAAAGATTACAACGATACCTACTAGGCGAGCACTCATCCCCTAGTCAACACGAGATACCTTTTTCCATTTATTACCAGTCTTTTAAACATCATTGTTTTTTAATCCATCTTTTAAAACGCATCCATTTAATGTTCTAGTTATTCTTAGTATTTGATTTAACCTAGCACAAGGGAAACAATATTTTCTCTTTTTTTTACGGTCACCACTTATTATAAACTTATTAAGTAGGTACATCACAATTCTTAAAAACACCACACACGAGGAACACATATTTTTACCTACTGCTAAAAGCGGTGTCTTCATTCAATAAAACAATCTCACTAAATAAAATCTATACGTATCTTGTTACCTCGACATTTACAAAGACTTTATTACTTCAATGTTCTTTACGACTTCAGTCTATTTTTTTTGAGACAATGAATTTTTAAGTCACATCTGCTCCGCTTAGAGAATGTTCACGTTCTAATTTGCCATTTCTGGTAGAGATCATTATTTGTGGTATCTCTCTAGTTTTGAGACTAACGAATGGTGTTTCGTTGACGAGGGAAGTTTTTTGTGTTTGTTGAATACTGTTTTTCCTGTTCAACTTGTAGTTTTTGTTGACGGCGAGCTGATTGCTGCGGCCGCTGCCCGAGACGACTTTCTTGCAAGCGGGGCAGATTAACTGGCTAGTCTCCACGCCGTTTTCTTTGGTCAAGCTTTGTAGTTGGGCGAGATCGTTTCTTAAAGACTTCCCTGCGAAAAAGAGATTACAAAAGTTAATATATTAATTAAGATAAATAGGTATACCTTTATGACTTTTATTAAACATTTATCATATATCGTTGTCCATACGAGTACATTACAACACCATACAAAACGCTGAAAGAAGCTGAAAGACCAAACTAAAGCATACAGGAAAAATTACATATTTTTTATGGTATGGTGTATTTTGTTATGTCTCTATTGTGTACAACTTTTGGTTGGATTTACGGGGGTTCGTTTCTCAGATGGGAGAAACATTTACAAAAAATACAAATACAAAATAATGTATTTTTTAAAGAAGTTTCTACAGGATATGTAGGCTTTATCCATTATAGTTTAGCATTTGGAATCTAAAAGAAAGTGAAGTAAAAAGTTTCAGCCAGTTTACTTATATTAAAATTATTTCGCATGCGGTGGTCGTGCTTAAGTGTGGACTACTAGTACCTGAGCTACCTGTGTCCGAGGAGGTGGCGTTCTTCACGATGCCCACGGCCGTGTAGGAGCAGCGCTTGATCTCCAGCTGCTTGCCGGACTGGCAGCACCACTGCCTGAACGTGTTCTGGAACATACACATGCATTTGAACACATGCATGCATGCTAGACAAAAAGAATAAAAGGCAGCCGCAGCCATTGAGCTCGCGTGTTTTGAAAACTGCATGAACGCAAAATGTGCGTGAGTTCGGTGCTAAGAGGCGCGTGCGCCTACGCAAGCATTTTATTTGCTTATTTTGCGTGTGTTAAGTAGTAAAAAAACATTTGCGTAATTATAATGTGCGTAATAAAGTCTAGATTCAAACAGTACCATGTGTTTTTGTCTTTTATTTCAAAGTGATGATTGTTCTATAAGATATTTACGCCCATATTCACAAACGATGCTTAGTTGAATAGGGCTCTGTGATTGGTTCGTTGTGTCACCCTGTGCGTTCACGCGCACTGTGAGATCTCATAGTAATGTTTGTGAATACGGGCTTAGACGCTAAAATAGAAATATTATACTCGAAATAAATTGCTTTCTTTTGGATACTCACTTTGAACGCCTCTCTGAACTTATTGGACATGATGTGGTAGAATATAGGGTTGATGCACGTGGACATGTAGTAGAACACGCCTGACGAGTAGGTGAGGGAGTAGTAGACCTTCAGCAGGATGGGTGACCGCGCCATGTGGTCGGGCGTGGTACCGTAGATCGCCACGAGCCGTTGAGCATGGAACGGCGCCCAGCATACGAAGAAGGCCACCACTACTGCCACTGTTGAATATAGTTTTAATTCATTATTAGATGTTGTTGTTTTTTGCGTGTCACTGAATAAAACATTTTTCTTTATTTTTTTCTTTCGTTCTAAGTAAAAGTATTTCCTATCTAAACTAATAAATAACCCAAGACCATTGAACTAATTAGTTACCGCCACAACGATAATTGAAACTTTAACGCAATTTACAACAGAGTAGTTTAAAGTTATATTTTGATTTGGAATTTATAACTTTTAACAGTATTATGAAAATTGCTTCAGACGATGATTAGTGTAGGTACAATGTAATGCAATTTGTGCATATTTTTCTTCGTTTATTTTAACATTATACGACAATCTTATACTAAGCAAATAATGCTACTTGTAGAAGGAATTTACTTAACTACCAGTATATGTAACCGTAATATGTACTGTTTGTCCCAGGTATACATAATTGTTAACAACTTCGAGTGTAGAGTCTCCAACCTTCAGAGGAATGGGTGCAACACGGACATTAGACATGATGTACATCAGTGGTTCTTAACCTTTAAGTGCTTTAAGTCACCAGGGACCATTTTACCAAATTTCAGTTTTGTCACGGACTTTTTTTTTTCAAAATCCTATAAAAGGGGAGGTCGATTTCTCGCCCACTGTGCGCCGTTTGCATTGTGTTGACTCGACACATCGATATGTCTTCGTGGTCCACTTGGAATTCCTCCAGGGACCACCAGTGGTCCGCGGACCACCGGTTAAGAACCACTGATGTACATGATCAAATAAGTTCATTATAAATTAAAGAACCCAGCCCGTTTATGGCTTAGATACTGTTTTCCTCTAGATTACTTGTAAGCCCTAGTTCAGACTAGGTATTAAAGGGGTTGGTTTAATTGAGGCCGCCAGTGGCCTTTGCCATTCTGTCTATCTAAATCTTAGAGCCTTCCTATTATGACAATTTATCTAGTAATCCTGTTACTAGTCAGGGCACAGATATGGATTAGAGTTGCTCGTCAAAGCGTGCCATTCCGATATGTCCAAATGGACATACATGGTCGAGTGATGTTCTCGTTGTTAATTGTAATCCGATTACAACAATCGGTTACGATGATTTTACGAGGACAGTAGTACCAACACGGTAGAAAGAAGAAATTATTAACGGATTGAGAATTGTAATTAACAGCACAAGTAACAAATAATTAAATTAGAATAAAGTAGCAAAGGGGAGGCCTTTGTCCAGCAGTGGACGTCTTTCGGCTGAAACGAACGAACGAACGAAAGTAGCAGTAGTAGAAGAAGTATAAAGTAGCATTGTTTTTAATACAGGAAATAAAAAATATCGGAAATAGTTATCAGAGAAATAATGATAAAATCACAAAATTTTAACACCAATCCTTCACTAACTAAATGTCACATTATCAATAAGGTTTCGCATTATTTTATTAATAGCAATATTTTAAATTCCTTTAAAAAACATCAGTTTGATCAACCGCCCACAGAAAATCATTTAGAAATATCTTCAAAACTAGGTACCTGACTTAGCTTTATGAAACTGAACGTATAGGCAAAACTACGCATTTTTACATTTATTAAAAATAAAAAGCTTGAGTTAGTCTTTATTTTATGAAACTAGGTCAGGTACTAGGATATTTAAAAGTATGAAATTAAGTATGAATTACTAGTAGTACTATTTAACACAATGGAATAACGATCATTACTTTGATAATACGCACAAATAATATTTTTATTATTTGCAAATTAATAATATAGAATTTATTTTAATCCACAGTTAGACTAGCTATAAATAGCAAAATATCAGTTTTATCGGAATTAATTAATTATCGAATCGAGTCACACGATACATTTCGATGACTTTGCGAATGCAGTACGATGATACGATTATTTTTACATTGCGGCAATCACTAAAATTCGCTAAAATGACACTAATGACGTTTAAAAAGTGGCACGCTCGTCTTCATACTTTTTTGACAAGCTGCATCTATCCATATCTGTGAGTCAGGGAGAGTTTAACTACTAACTAAATAATATAACAGGATTTAGATGTATTTATAGGAACTTAGAAGAAAATAAAAATGAAATGAGCACTTACCTAACATCTTCACCACTCGTCTAGTAGATTGACCGGGTTTTCTGTGCGCTTTGTGCGCGCAGCTCAAACTCCGTTCAAAGAGCTTTGGATCTCGGACCTCCTTGCTCATACTTGTCTTCTTTAGTTTCAGACCAATCAGCGAGTACAGGACTGTGATCAGAACCATCGGCGCGAAGAAGAAGAAGAATGTAGATATTTCGAACGAATGCTCCACGATCACCCGTGTTTGTAGGCACATGGTTACACCTCGGTAGTTTTTGATACCGAACTGCAGAGCTTGAGGTAATGCTAGTCCTAACGCCGCTACCCATAGCATCAGCACGTGCTTCGTTGCTCGAGAGAGTTTCGACATCTGATGCGAAACAAACGGATGGCATATAGCTAGATACCTCTCTATAGTGAACAGAGTGATGGTCAGAACACTTGCGTTGGTGGACGTCTCCGCAGCCAGGCCTCGCATCACACAGAACGCTGGCCCAAACACGTAAGGCCACTTTGACCATATTGAATACATCTCTTGAGGCATTCCGCTCACAAGCAGAAGTAAATCTGAGATTGCTAAGCTGAATAAGTAGTAGTTTGTTGCAGTGTGCATGCTCTTATTGCGCACTATGACTATGCAAGTAAACACGTTTCCGAATAGACCAGTTATGAAAATTATTGAATAAATTATTGTGATGGGGATCACTATGTACAGTGAGTCTCTTTGCGGCCCGAAGATGGCTATAGGGTCGACTATGTCACTCCTGTTGAGGGTGAGGTTGGTTGCTTCATTTAGACTGCTCATGTTCATAGTTTTTGAGATCAGTTATATTTTAAACATCAGTTGGTGTTTAATAGGGTATGTTTTTCTTGTTTTCATTTCTTTCCGGGTGGTTTTCCTTACTGCACCTGTGAACAAAATTAAGAAAGTGAATTTCATTTTTTGGCCTCACTCTTACTTTTAGACGGGTGTATAAGAACGTGCTCCTTATCTTTGAATTAATTAATTTAAAATGATAATCCACTGCCACACTCGCTCTAATAGCTGTCTGGTGAACAGAAATTGAGTGCATTCTGCTAGACAGGAGATGGACTTTAACTTTTGTTGGCGCTATTTTAGATAAGGATGGATTTAGGGCAATTTCATCAATACCCTTCAGATCTTATCAAAATTGTCTTAACGTCGAATAGCTCTGTCGAACGTCAGTCAGTCTGATGAGATTGTTACGCTGTGGCCCAACACAGACGCGTGAACTCCATATTATAAAGATACTAGCGGTCGCCCGCAAACTTCGTACGCGTTGCCCCCTTAGGAGTTGAATTTTGGAAAATCGTCTTAATGAGCACCTACGTTCTAAAAGGCACCCCCATGCAAAATTTGAGACTCCTAGCACCTGTAGTTTCTGAGATTTTGTGATGAGTGAGTATGTCAGAATATACTTAGATTGTTACCCTTATTTGCCAGTTCTAACGTAGCAATAAATATTTTCATGGCCACCAATCTGTCTCCCCATGAACTGCCACTCGATGGCCTGAGCTATTCACGTGACCGAGTTTGCTAACCGTATTCATAATAATTGAGCGGGTACCGATATTCGTAGCATGTTTAAAACATTCGCCTTAATGCAATTGCAACACTGCAAGTGTTAGATCGCGAAATAATATACCCTTTTGTATTACAATGAGATCTTCTTTTAGACTTATTAATAAACAATTGAAAGTGACACTAATAACGGTTAAAAATGGCGCGTTATTATGGCTAAGGTGAAGTAAAAGCTGGAAGATGGAGCAGCCAACAACAAACAGATCAATTTTTCGCATTAATAATATCAAAAGGATGTTTGTTTGTTGTCATCGCGATTACACGGCTGAACGGAGTCCTGTTGATCTTTGACACGCGGATATGGGTACTTTATCACGCAATAAAATTATGCGACTCGTGGAAAATATACAAGAACAATTTTAGAGAGCGTGCGACATTAATGGTCTGTTAAATACCGTTTAACGTATACAGGGTGTCCCGTAATGTAACGTCAAGCCGGAACTGGGTGTTGAGGCAAGTTGTGCTGGTTATCAGAAAAATATAAAAAAAAAAATATGTGGCATATTTTAAAAATAATAGGCATTTAAAAAAAATCAAAAAATTCTACTCCAGGTGACAGTCCTTTTGCTCGTGTTGCCACAAATCTTCACTTTTTCCAATTTTTTTTTTTGTTATGTAACCCTGAATAATGCTTCTCTAAATTGTTATCAAAATTACAAAACCAGCTGCTCCAGCTTGGATGAAAAAAATACATTATTCTCAAAAAAAATTTCAAAATAAAAATTTTGCCTAGTTTAAACTGACTGTACTGAAAAAAAAAATATTTTTAACCAAGGTAGATAAAGTTAAAAACGGGATTATTTCCAATAAACAAAAATTGTCGACAATTACAGCAAGATTTTACAAAGTGTTATACCATTTTGGAATCCTTACTAAATGCGCCAAATTATGACGTCACTTGCCACACTCGCGTAGTACAATTTTTTTTCAGTACAGTCAGTTTAAACTAGGCAAAATTTTTATTTTGATATTTTTTTTGGGAATAATGTTTTTTTTTATCCAAGTTGGAGCAGCTGGTTTTGTAATTTTGATAACAATTTAGAGAAGCATTATTCAGGGTTACATAACAAAAAAAAAATTTGGAAAAAGTGAAGATTTGTGGCAACACGAGTAAAAGGACCGTCACCTGGAGTAGAATTTTTTGATTTTTTTTAAATGCCTATTATTTTTAAAATATGCCACATAGATTTTTTTTTATATTTTTCTGATAACCAGCACAACTTGCCTCAACACCCAGTTCCGGCTTGACGTTACATTACGGGACACCCTGTATAATTAAAGTTATTTATTTCTAAGTAAGCTACAGAACTCATTATATTATGGCGTAGTGTACTTTAGAGCTAAATTAATACAGCTATTCTTAGATTTGTGATGCATTGACCCACTGAAAGATCATGAATTTCATAGTGCGGTTAAACTATTGCAGATGGCAAAATCTAGTTTATAAAGATGTATTTAGGATTTTCGATTATACAGTCATTATTTAGATAAGACGTTTCTAGTCGTCGAAATGAATGTTTCACTTGTTATCTTGTGAATTATGTAAGAGACAACAGCTCGAAATAGCTTAACCCTTCGAGAGTGTCCCTAATATCCGACGACACTAATATTAATTTCCTCACAAGACGCAATCTCAGAGCAGGACTCAGGACCTTTGCTGAGTGAGTGAGGTCCGTCCGATATAATTATCACATTAACCACTGCAGATTACGCAGGAGTTGTATGAGTACACCGACTTGAGAATGCTGAGGCAGTTTAATATCTATTTGAGCTGATTTGTATCATACTTTATTCGGCTAATGCTATGCTTTTAATACGAATTTTCATAGTATGACATTTAATTTTGTGGTATCTAAAAAGCCATTAAGCTGTTTTTAAACGAAAATACGTTTCCAATACATTTTTTCTGAAGCAGATAGAGCGTAATTTAAACCTCTCTAAAACTCTAGTTCATCTAGTAATGGCAATTGTAGTTGATACTTGTAGTTACAAAAGGTAAGTAAATTAGGGTTTTTTTATGTAGCTCCTTATCCAATATTAACAAGATATCTTTCTTTTAACCTAATTTAACCATTAGGATAATGTGTGGGAGCCTATACAGGTAAATACAACGTTTGTTTACCTTAATTCCGTAATCTACTTGTGATTGGATTGGAAACCTGTATCTCTGCAATCTGAAAAATTGGATCGTTTGTATAATATGGGAATATTATGGAAACAAATGAAAGAGGTACTCCTTCAATACACTTGTATGTAGATTGGATTTCCACCTACGCATAATTCCCCTGAATGTGTTTGTTCACACACATAATAAATGATAATGCAATGTTGTTGTTTGGAAACGCTTTGTTATTCGCGCCAAAATCATAAATATACCCGGAGTCTTTCAGTAAGTAATTGCATTAAATATTACAGTTAAATGCAACCATGGTGATAATCCGGTGACCTTAATTCAGAATTAGACGAGGTCACGAGCGTCCTTATTTTAAAAAACTGGATTTTTCGTACAGTTACACTGACGTGGATTTCACTAACGGGATATTCGGAACAAATTAAGCAGTCTGTTGACGACGGATTTTTGAAATATTGAATCAAATTTCCGGATAGCCGGACTAAAATTAAATAAAACTTGAACTTCCTTATAATTTCGCAGTGAGGCCAATGATCGTTAATCCTTCCCCTACGATATACTTAATTGGCCGTCACTGGTTGAGTTATTGGTGCTTAGCTCCTGATCCCTACACAGGAGTTGCAGCGGTGGGGACGAAGAAGTTGGAATTAGCCCATTTATAACAAAAAATGCTTAAAGCATATTTTGGTGAACTATGTTAGTAGATTATAACGTGTAAGGCGCACGTTATTGATTGACTGATCTATTTATTAACACACAGTTCAAACCACTGAATGGATTTCGCTGCGGCGGATAGTAAGCGTCCGTTAAGAAAGGATTTTCCAAAAGTAACCTTTTATTGAGATGAAATGGGGTACCAAATTTTAACACAGATGAAACCGCGGGAAAAAGCTAATTTAAGATAAATGTCTTTCCCTAAAAACACTGTTTATTACACCAGTGAACCGAGCAATGTCACCAATAATGTCACGATTGCGGAGTTCGGCGTACCTAATAGGACCCCACTCAGCATTATGTCCTGTTCGTGACACTGTAATGTAGAGCACGTAGCTGGATTCCAGAGGGTTCGATGCTGAGTGAGAGTTACGGAATTTACGCTAAATAAAAATAAACAATATCCACTAAGAGGTTTGTGTTGTGTAGAGTTCGAACCTCTTCAGACAAATAAATATGTAGATACTCGTACGTATGTAATGTATTGGCCTGGAAAAACGGGAACGGAAATCATAATGATTGTATCCGTTGTCTAATACTCATGGTTCATGGTACTTCTATAGCTTTGCTTTCTTTGAGAAAAAATAGCGCATTGTATAATGTCCAAAGGTAAATACGGATTGAACTAAAAAAAGTTAATAAAATCCTTATAATTACTGTCTCAATAAAGGTCGCATGCAAGTTGACAAGTGTAAAGCGAGCTAGCATTAAATATCCGAATACTAGGATTTGCTCAGTCAGTGTTTTGCTTCACTGTATCGGATTAGGTTTCGTTTTCGCAGGAGTTTACAGTTGCACTCTTCTAAATCACTCTCTAAACACTACTTACTGTCAACGAAGTCACAAGCTTCATTCTACAGAGCAGGGATTCCCAATCTTACCTATTCATCCCATGGCGCACTCACAAAAGTATTTTGTCACGAGGCCTTACCCTTCAAAAATTACTAATAGGAACCTATAATGATGATAGTAGTTACAGGTTAGGTAGATACTTTGGAACAAAAATTAATACATCTATCTACAATATGAAATTTCTACGTCAGACCAGGATGCCGCGGCGCACACTTCGGGAACCCTTGCTTGCTTGCTGTTTAACTTCTGGTTTCAGTTTTTAAGGTAGCCCAAACCATCGAGTGCAGCCTGCGTGCCCGATTCTGATTTTATTGATTTCTACTGATCGCCATCGCCATCGCGCACGCTGGTTGCATGTTGGTTTGGCCGAACCTATATGTCCCATCTCATTTGAATCGTTACGGAGAATAAAAGGGCTAACCAAAGCGGCGTTTCGGTGTAAAAAAAAACAACTTTTATGACTATTTGTACTCGTGTATGTACAAAGTATCGATTTTGTTTTTACTACTGTCGTCTTCTACTCGCGGCTGTATTTGTATGGCTTTGTTTGGGTCTGCCACATAAAGTCCTTATCAGGAATCATTCTTTATTTCTTACTAAAGGCATAAA